TCAAAATTTGTGGCATAAAATACACGCAAGGACGATCTGAAAATTTCTGGTTATTATATACGTTTGTAAAAGGAGATCCATTTAATTTTTGAACTATTTTATAAGTTATAATGTAGTCTACACATAAACTGTGTAAATGTATTACGCCTCGGAAGGGTTGAAACCTGTTCAAACTATCATATATATTATTAAAACGTAAATATGGTTTTTTCACATTCTGTATCAACCAGTCGACGGATTTTCATTATTTTTGTGTTGAAAGAAAGATAATTTTGAGAACTAGGGAATGTCAAAGCCATAATTATAACTAAGGGTCCCAGTTTTTTAGAAATTAAGTTTTAATTTTTTTAAAGTCTAGCAGCCGACGCTAACCTTCTAAGCCAGCTTTTAGTACAATATAATTTGCTTAGCATAACAGCTGTAAACATTCAGCATTTGTGACACAAATTCAGCATTTGGAAACAAATTTAAAGACATATTTAGAGTTGACTTATTTATTCTATGTGTAATGCTGACCATTGATACATTCAATTCCTAGGTATGAGGATGGCAGATTATTTAAATTTGCATAGAAAAATAGTAGGATGTTCAAATTATTTTTTAAAGGAATCTTTGTAATCATCGATTTGTTTTAGTCCCATATAATTTGTTTTAACTAACAGCTGGTTGAATGTAATATCAACTCAAGGAGGCCACCATTGGGAAGTCGGAAACGGTAAGAATTAGAGAAAACATTAAATGGGGGACATTCCTTTATTTTTTGTGGCAGTTAAAAATATGATTTTAGTTTTTAATCATGTTTTCGGATAGAATATGCAATTTAAAAACTTTTTTAGCCTTGACACTTTTTCGATAAACCCACTCGTTTAGGAGTACAGCCTATGGAAAAATGACTTCCGGTGTACATTTTACATCATGTAGCTCCTAAACGAGTAAGTTTAGAGCAAAATTGCAAAAAGTATATTAGTCTTAGAATTGCATCTTCATTCCTTAAAGACTATAAAATAAAAAGTTTTCCACTTTTCAAGTTTGCCGCCATTTTTTTAAATAATATAATTTATATTTTTAATTAATTTTATGGTCTTTTTGGAATGTGGATGCAATTGTAAGACTTTTTTACTCCTCGTATTTTTGCTTTAAACTTACTTGTTTAGGAGCTACATGATTTAATAAGTACACCGGAAGTCATTTTTCCATAGGCTGTAACTCCTAAACGAGTGGGTTTATCGAAAAAATGTCAAGGATAAAAAAGTTTTAAAATTGCCTATTATGTCCGAAAACATGATAAAATATGGGTGCTCGGTAAGAAATTTCAAATTTGGCCGCCATTTTGGAAAATGGTGGCTGAATTTCAAACGACTAAAATCATATTTTAAACTGCCAAAAAAAATGAAGGAATGTCCTCCATTTTAGGTTTTCTCTAATTCTTACCGTTTCCGATATTCCAATGGTGGCCTCCTTCACCCTGTATAGCCTATATTTATTTATTTATACGTTTTTCCCGGGGGGAACCCCAGGACCCCCTCCTTTTTGGGGGGTATTCCATACCCCACAGGCCCCTGGTGACCCCCCCCCAAATATATGTCTAGGAGCGCCCTTGTCTTCTTTACCTATAAAACACATGGGATACAGCCTTTTCTTCACTGATCACGTAATGCGTGATTTTCTATAAAGTCTTGGAAAAATAAAAGGTAAAATAGATAGAATAAAGGTGTACTGTATGTGGTTTACACACAAATATTCATCAAACTGTGTGATATTTTGTTATTGCAATGAACAATTTGGGAGTATCGTATTGTTTAAGTCGATGGAAAATCTCTGTTGATCCTGTTTTACAAGCAAACCAAAAAGATACATTAGTCACCACTCTATGCGACATATTCTAACCAGAAAATTGTAATCGTATGATTCTAGGCCTATAAGCATTGATAGGATTGCAAAGTACTTCACAAACATTATTTCAAGGGTAATAACAGTCACAATTTCCGCCGACTTTAAAAGAGTCAACTAAACTACTATACTAATGGACACACAACTAAATGAAACAACTAATGGAACAACTCACGATGTACATATAACAGTTCGATATAAGCATTGAGTATACACGTCAGTGGATACGTGTATACCGTACCCAATGACATAAGCAACGGTTCTTGCAATTTATTGCTTATTGTTTTTTAGAGTTGTTTTCGGACTTACTCCGTTTTCGGACGTACTCACACTCGTATAAGGTTGTCCACGTTTGTCATTGATAATGTAGCCATGTTACATGGTTACACCCGTTGTCAAGAATATGGTTACAAGTTTTCCGTCTGTTTTTGAATAGCGATACATTTTTTCACATACTTAAGAACCACCTGATTTCGTGCATTACATGTTCGTCTCAATTTTAATTGCTTTAGTAGGCATTATTTTGGTTGATGAGGACTTCAATCGGTCCTTTCAATGATAGCTCATGAAATATAGTACTTTGTCCATTAATTTTATTGTTTGGTAAAATGGATTAAATTATCCTGCAAACCCAAATAAAAATAGTAAATATAGTATTTGAAACAAATCAGTAACATGTTAATAATGTAACCTACATTATTTCCTTGAATTGCATAACAGCAATTAACTGGGCTGATCCTAATATAAATAAATCAATATGTTCTTCATAGGCATAACATGGGTTCATAACATGAGCCGCTGGGGCTGAGCCCAAGGGATTTAAAAATGTAAGGTTGGTTTGCAAATGTACGTGACACGCTCTTTCTAGAGACATGAATGGTCAAAATCACCTAAGAAATTCGGAGGAGTTCAACGGACAAATTTCGTGTTGGCGTTATACAGTATGGTTGAAAAGTCCTGGATTGGCTATATTTTTTTAACAATATAGATAAAGTAGTGAGACTTGGTATATCAATAATATAATAGCCATAAATATCTACTGTCTTAAGCTATTATCACTGTTTAATCCCTTAAGGGGGATGGACCACAAAGACTAAGACAAAATTCATATATAATTTTAATACTATTTTACCTGTTTTTGAAATGGCGACCATACAAATGTATGCATTTTAAGCCAAGTATGAATGGAGTTGAGTGTGTGATGAGTGGAGCGATCTTGTTGTCCTGTTAGTGACTAAGGCCGACGTAATCCTTAGACACAGCTGTTAATTAATAGTCCATACAGTCAATTAATAGCAGCAGAGGTCAAGTTTGGTAGGTATCAAATTAAAAGTTTTAATTATAAAAATACATTGCCGCAAACCTAAACTCAAACGATGATGATGATAATAATGTTAATGATGTAGCTAAAACGTATCGTTTGAAATTTAACAGCTGAAAATAAGTTAAATAGAAAAGGTTTTGGTTAAATCCATCAAATTGTTATTGGACACTAGTAAGTACTAGTGCACTTTTTTATATTGATTATATGATTATATTGATTTACTTTGGATTTTAAAAATGTGAACGTTTTATTTTATTAAAGATTTATGGTGATACGTAAATATTGTGGTGTAGTAAAGTATATTATATTGTAGTTAAGTGTTAAATTTTGAAATATAAGGGTGAATCGAGATGAATCTTTTTTTATAACATGGGTCTCTCCTACCTACATACCAAGTTGGATACATACCAAGTTTCATAAACATCGGTTGGAAAAGTGTAAAGATAAATATTTGTATGTAAAAAATACAAAATGGCGGATATCTGGTTAACGAAACGATTTTGGAAAAAATGTTATCCTTCATTTTCTGTTTATTTTGACCCAAGGAATTACTAGGTAAAGTATCTCCCCGCTTATTTTTAACACCCTGTTTATGATGTATTCTTATAAGTGAAAAATGTAAGCTGGTAATACAGAAAGATGTTTTATAAATAATATGAATGTACTGGTGATCTGTATATTCATCTTTTTCTTGTTCTTAGAACTGTTAATTAAAAGTCCACTCAGCAGTCGCATCGTACGATGTAGTTCTTTCCATGCGTTGCGAAATGTTACATTTGCCGTCCTCTTCAACCCAAGTTATCTATTGAACCACTGATTGTAAAAAAATCAAAAAAATATATTTTACGCATCACACTTTTGGCTACAACTTTGCCGCAGACAAAACCTCCTTAACCCAAAAACAAAAAAAAATCTCGCATGCTAACTTTTTCATGCTAGAAATCACGATTTAAAACTATTTCACCATACATATCAATTTGTATTAATTAGATAGGTAAATAGTTTAAAGTTCCAACAAAACAGTCATCGAGTAGGACTAACCAAGAAGCTCTGTGCCAATTTTCAAAATTTTAGCACAACTTTAGGTACACCAAAACACGAAATTATTGAAGTCATGCGTCGAGAGGACTATCGCTGTTTTTAACAGATTATACTTTTGACCTTCCGGCACTGTTGACTCAGCGAAACTGAACTTATATTTTATCTTATTTCGTTATATTAAAACTGCTGTTGCATTAGGTCAAATTCCCAATAAGTCAATTGCTTTAACATAGACCACGTTTTTAGCTCGGACTGTACTATTTGACTTACTGGGATTTTTGATCTACAGACACTGCAAACATTGTAGTTTTTGACCTAGCGGCACAGGTATAAATTATTTGACCTTCCGGGACTGTTGACTTTCTGCAACGCGTCCGCCCGGACTGTACTATTTGACTTTCTGGGATTTTTGATCTACAGACACTGCAAACATTGTAGTTTTTGACCTAGCGGCACAGGTATAAATTATTTGATCTTCCGGGACTGTTGACTTTCAGCAACATTCCCCAAAACAAACACAATTAATTAAACCAATCTTGTTTCAGGTGCATACACCATTGACAAATGGACTAGACTAATGTTGGTTTGAATATTTAGAAAACTTAATAGAATCTTTATGTTGTTTTAGACTGGTGAAAATTGGACCAGTGTGACATATAATTTTTTTTAGTTAACAAAACTATCTATTTAAAAACTACTTTCAGACTGACACCTTCTTTCTCATCTAGTTGCATGGGGAAATTTCCAAAGCAACATTCAAATGTTACAGGCTTGTTGAATATTGTGATACGTAAATGGATCTATGAATGTGATTGACTGACTTTATCAAAATTGTTGTTTATAACTAATTTGGATTGATAAGTGTAATATTATGTGATAGCTGGTAAGTAATGTTGCATTAGGGTTAAAGAGAATTTCTATATGAGATATAAAGGGCTGGACCCCTTCCAGATTTGAAGGTTAAAAAAGCAATTTCTCCCAAATTTGCTGCACAAATCATCCAAAGCTTGCTTAAGATAGTTAATTAACTTTTTGTGCTGTAAATTGTTTCAATTCTGTTTAATTGAAGTAGTGAAGTTAAATAAATAAATCCTTTTTTTTCGTTTTACATTGTAATATTACATCAGATATAATACATTACAATACCACAGGCTGGCCAATCACAAGAATTTAACTAACAAAACGAATAAAAATATTGTGCCCTAAGCCAGTTTATGGGTTAACTAGTACTTACAATGGTCCAAATGAACAAAAATCTAATACTATAATTTATTTAATCCATTTAATTATTTATATAATTAAACTAGAAAGTTTATCAACATCAAACATTCTACTGGAGCAAAAAAAAATATTTCAAATATACAAAAATAAATGTCTATCTTTGAGGTGTTTGTCTTTTTGATTGAGAATGCCCTTCATGCTCATTAAAGTGTCAGTTACAGACATTGTGACATACTGTGTTGTGGTCTTCTTTTTTGTAGGAACATTTGAAAACTGTGTTCGTTTAGTTATGACAAAAGTGTTTTGAGAAGTATAGTTTACAATATAAAAATAGTTGCGAAACTAAATGATTTTTAAATTCAAGATAAAGTGTTGTTTTCATCAAAATTTTTGACTTTGAGTTAAGGTGGACATATTCGTTTTGGTTCCTCCTGAACCCAAAAAAGTGGGGTTTGAAGTGTGTTGACTGTTCCTTCCTGTTGTGTGTATGAGCTTCTGGATTAGTGGATGTATAGAGGAGCTACAGACCACACATGTGATAACATTTTTACTAAATTTGGTATATTGGTATCTCCAGGCGTTTGTTTTTTAAATTTAAATGTTTATGATGTTGGTTTCCAATCTATAATTTTCTCAAAAAAAGCTTGAACGGTTTTGAAAAAAAAATTAGTATATTAATATGGTCCTTTGTCTTTATAATTCGAAACAAAACGGTCCAAACATGGCTGTACGCTTACGGTTAAAAAGCTATTGTAACTTACATTATTTTCCCATTTAAAAAACCATAAAATAACAGAAAAATTAGGTTTTTAAAACAAATTTGGAACAATTTTTTACTACGGTTTAGTATTTTATGGTATTTATAATTCTAAGTAGAAAGGTACAACCCCTATTGTTGTAAAAATTACAGTTCAAGTTCAAGAGTTATTGCACCTTTAGTGATTTTGACCATATACTTCCTCCCACCGCTCATGATAAGGGTTATTGGCAAGCTAATGGGAGAATGTATCTGTCAGATTGCTGTTACCATTTATTTACACTGGCACGACAGATTAAGCCTTGACAGTGCTGTGTATCCAATAAACCCCTGGTATTGCAGATTCGCCATGGGACTGGGACTTCAGTATCCAGGGTTAGACTTTCACAACAAGAAGTTGGAGGAGGGCAAAGAGCTTAAAGAGTATTTGGACGAGTATCATTTGTGTGAGTCATTTATGTCAAAGAAAATTAATATTATTATGTTCATGCCATAAGTATAATTAATAGTGACTTTTGAATCCTGAAGTTTTATTAATAATAAAAAGTTAAATGTAAAGTGATTCTTTGCTGATTTGATTCATAAAGTGGCATCTAACTTTTTTGCCAACAATCTTATATATTTAAAAAATTTGGTTTTTCTTTTCCGAGTTCGTTTGGCTCTTCTACCCGACCGATTTTCATGATTGAGGTCTCAAATTGAAGGTATGCACACACAGATTTGCCATCAAGCATCAGCATATATTTATCTATAATCCCACTCGGCTTATACGTAAAAGAAATTTACTCCCCATGTACATATTTCTTATGGGAGTTAAATTTGGCTTTTCTTTTCCAAGTTCGTTTGGCTCTTCTACCCGACCGATTTTCATTATTGAGGTCTCAAATTGAAGGTATGCACGCACAGATTTGCCATCAAGCATCGGCATATATTTATCTATAATCCCACTCGGTGCATACGCAAATGAAATTTGCTCCCCATGTATTTCTTATGGAAGTTAAATTTGGTTTTTCTTTGCCGAATTCGTTTGGCTCTTCTACCCGACCGATTTTCATGATTGAGGTCTGGAATTGAAGGTATGCATGCACAAATTTGCCATCAATCATCTACAAATATTTACCTACAGTATTACACGACCAGAACAAATAATTTGATTTATTTTATAATTCTTACTTCAAATTAAGATGTACTTTTACCAGTTATAGATTTATAATCCGATAAATTTTAGTCTAAGAACCTTCAGTTAAATACTGGCTTTCATTTAAGCTATTAGTTATTCAAATCCAACGAGTTTCAAGCAAACGCAAGGTGATAAACCAATATAAAAATTATTTTTCATAATGTTTTAATATGGCTAAAAATCAATAGCTCCAGTATTGTTCCTGTTTTTCTATATGTTTTAGACACAAAATAATCAGTAAATTATAGGATTTAATTTGAGCTATTGATCGTTTGAATCAGTTAAGCTCAAGATACTCAATCAAAAATTATAAATTTGATTATTTCTCGGATATTATGATAATTTTAACGCTGCGGAGCAGCATGGGTCCTCTAGTCTAATTTAAAACTCCACTGAGTCAAAAAAATGTGCTAGGTAGACAAGTAGGCCTAAACATTTCTGTGAAAGTTCAGATTTCAGCTATATTCAAAATCTAACAGATGTGGATTATGATGCCATGTGGAACTTAGATATTGTGCTATGGTTGAGGGAACTGATCATCTTCCGCATCAGGGTGAAGATGAGAATAAAATAATAAAGTCAAAGAATGCTACAGCAAAAAGTGTTAAGTTATTTCAATAAACATAGCCAATGACAGGTTTTAAAATTGAAAATGTTGAAATGACGCAGGGAGGGCAGATGCATATGATGAGAAGGAGAGTTTGGCCGAATGGAAAGCCGAGACACAAGACTTTTACCAGGCTCGGATGGATGCCGACCTGGATCTGGATCCTAATTTGAAATACAGTCCAACATGGAGCCGTCTAGAGTGGGGTAAGATCTACAAGGACGGCTTCTTTGAAGAGAAGATGTTCAGGGATGGCGATTGGAAAGATTACCGATGGGGCAAAACCACAAATAATCATGTCCCTGAATATAAACTGATAGACTTGATGAACCTCAATTGTAGAGCCGGACTGCCTGACTTCAACTTTATCAAGTATGTTTACTTATATGATAGTGTTTACAGAATTGAGTGGTATTTTTAGGTGGCTCAGGAGGATACTCCTTTAAAAGGCAGTCAACAATGCTGGGCTGCTGCAGTGGCGCTCGCATCCACTATTACATTGTCATAGTGATGCAGTAAAATATATGGAGAATATGTGTCAAACGTTTTCTATCAGGGGAATTTTATGATTTATTTCTTATACGATATTTCCTATTTTTATTCTTCGCTGCCACAAAAAGTGCACACTGAAAATTCGTGAACTCTAAAGCAAAATTAACATTAGCCCTTATTGTTTGATTTGAGTGCAAAAATTTCTATTAAATATAACAGTGTTGCCAATTCCAATACTTGCTAGATCATGCTGTTTCCTTGTGTTACCAACCACTGATTTAGGGTTTTGTCAAATAGTGCTGCACTATTTAGATGTTTCTAAATTTGCATATAGCGATGAGATGAATATTTCGTTGAATTCTAATTATATACAAAAGTGTCATAATGTTTGACAATATAGCACTTAACTTAATGTCCTATCATATTTTATTGTGGTTATATACATATACTCCCAACTACTGTCTTTTGCTGATTGTCTTTTGCTATAGTCTGTCCAGAGAGAATATTATGCTTAATTAGTTCGGCCTCTCCTGTTAACACGTTCACTGCGCAATACAATCAATAATTTTGAGCTCTGTTGTTGCAGGGGAACAATATAATCGTTGCCAGCCTGTAGCTTAGAATGCGAGATTTATTTTGGAGTCGGTTGGTACTCATTCCGTCTGGCTTTTGTACCGGTTTCGGGGATTTTCTCTCTTCGAGCCACATTACAAAGACCCTGGCTACAGATCCAAGCAGTGCTACCTTTGGGTGTTTCAGTGAACTACATCCACTCTAGGGGTAACACAGCACCATCATCGGTGCTCTTTTGAGCTGGGGCTTCGCCCAGGCCTCGCCACCATTAGCGAGCGCCTGTTTGATGTATGCTGCTCTGAACGTATTAAGATTGTTCAACAACTACTTCCATCCACAATATTCTACTCTCATAAGAAGCGTGTTACCTATTAAATATTTATTCTGGTCTGATTTTCAGGGCACAAAAAAGACCTCAAGTGAAAGAGAACCGTCATTTGAGGTATATGCGGCGCTTCAGCAAGTTGAACCGAGAGAACGTGTCAATACGCAACTGGGCGCACAAGTCCGTGGGCTGGAGTGGCGAGGAGAAGAAAAGGACGAGGAAGAATGATCTTCCTTCACTACATCCTAGAGTGGAGCAGGCACTGGGCGCTATGTTCCACGACATGGCCAGAACCAGGCACTTCGGGTACGATGAGGTGGAAAAGGATGACTAAGACATAGCTAAACAGTGGAAAATAAAGGACGATTGGACACAAGAGGTTGGAACAAAAGAACAATTTGAAAGATTAGATGTGTAAGAGAAAGAATGTGAATTTGGTTTGGTGAAAGACAGCAAACCGATTGTTATAAATTTGGAGAGAGGGGGGGGAGATCGGTCATCAGATAGAAAGTAATTAAAAGAGGAAAAATATTCATACTTGAGTCAAACTGTCCTGAATTAACTTAAAGAAATGTGGTAAATTTCACTATTTTATGGGTGCAATCTCAGGGTATTGGCAGTCAAGGATGGGATTTAAACTGCAAAACTTTAATAAACAGCAAAATACAATGATTGTTTCCATGTTCAATACTAAACCTTTGTTTGGATGGAAATCTCCAAAATATTCATACAGCAATCTGATATTCTAACACCAACAGAATGTAATTTTCTCTTCATTACTAAATCAGCATGTGATACAAAACCTGTATAGAAATTAGCGGATTTCAGACTTCATTGAACACAGAGAGGAATTGAAATTCACACACTGATTGTTTCAAGTTACCTTATGAATAGTTTATTTTTATTATCAGACGGATTACCTAGAGCAGTATGGTAAATGGTAAATACAAATAAAATTATGTTTCATAAATATTTTATTAATTCTGTGAATTATTAACATATTCACATTATAACTACTGTTGGAGAAATGTTCAATTGCCATGCAAAGAGGAAGTTTGTATGTCTTTATGGACAATCTTCATATCATAAACAATCTGAAAGTATAACAAGTAAAGTTAGTAATGCATTTACAAAGAAATTTGAACTCAACAATCTGCATACAAAACTGCATTTGATAGTAAGCTATGTTTTTGATATAAGTGCAACATATCCCTACGTTATTACTGTACAACTATAATTTCAAAAACAATAAGATACGTCAAGCCAAAGTTTTTTACTCAAAAATCTATAAATATTCTAAGTAAATAGACATAATAGAATCCAAAAACACATTGTAGTGATTTTTAATATTGAATTTTAAACTATAGTTAAATTTCTGCCTTTAACCTTACTAATATGCATGGTAAAACAAACCCAAAACCAAGATCAAATATGGAATAATCAATGTACAAAGAAGTTAGTACAACACTGTTTTCTTCTTGAATTGGAGCTGATTTAGGTTTTTTTTATTGAACAACCTTTAATTTAAGTAGGTACAAAATAGCCTAAGTTAGTTTTCTTTTTTTACATAGGTATTGACCTGAAATTTTGGAAATATTGAACTGAAAACCTGGACATGTTATTCTTGAATTGTATTCCAATGGCTTGCTTAACACACTCCAAAACACATCTTTTACTTTACAAGCCCATGGTATGAAATTTGACTTTGCACCTCCCTCTTTCTGAAAATGTTGAATAAATACTCTTGGTGTTTTAGTCTCACAAAATAGTGAATATATTTGAAACATTGCTTTTTTAACCTACGCACAGGTTTTAGAATAAAGTAGTTAAAAAGTTCTTCTTTCATCATTTTCATCCTTTTCTATTTCACCCCCATTGCAATTACTTTTAGAGTACCAGTATTTGGATTGTATAAAAATTTTGAAATACATTATAACAGTCTGTGTTGGGTTTCTTCTTTGGCAATTTTCAACCAAACCACTTATTAATTTTTGTAAGAATAGATTACTTACGTCAATAGCTCATTGAATTGTGAGTATGACAAGGTGTTCAGTACATGTTTCGACACATTGTCATCATCATGTCAAAACATGTACTGAAGTGAAACTCACGATTCAATGAGCTATTGACGTAAGTAATCTATTCTTACAATATTATCTACAGCTCAGGGGCTTAACAATGAATTTATTAATTTTTAACTCTCTCATAATTGGTTTTTGTTGATAGTACCTTATGGCTTAATTCATAGCTTAGTACCTGGGATAATCAACATCACAAATCAAGATATTTTATCACTATTAATGGTGTTAAAAAACTAAAATCTTTCTTTCTGATTTTAAATTATTCTCTTAAGAGACTCTTAAACATGCTTAAGTTAGTTGGCACTAGTGAGTCACCTGGTTCAGTTCTGCCACTACGACAGGTGACACTGGAGTCTTTTCTGTCTCCAGGTTGCACTTGTAAATGTTTTTTCCATCGTGGTTACTTTCCCAGTAAGCTGTATTGCCTGTGAACCAACAGTAATGCTAAGGGGTCAAAATATTAAATATTTCAGGCAAAATATCCATAGTTTGGCTCTTACCTTTATTTTTTAAAGGTTTAGTAAACTACATCTTAAAATTGAGTTCTATGAGGCTAAAAAGTAATAAGTTTCCTTACTTGCTTAAGTTGTATAAAACATAAGCCATTGTATAGATTCAAAGTACTAATGCAAAAATGTATTGTGCAATAAGTTGTAAAAACCCTCAAAATAGTAGTTAAACTATCTTTTTTAACCATTTAGCTCACGTACTTTTAATTTTTTTTTGCGCCGGAATAATGTAAAAAATTAAAATACAACTTGCTTATTAGACCTATTACTTGAACAATTCTGAATTGCATTATGTACTAAGGTAATGAGGCTTTTGTGATAAAAAGATCACCATTTAAATTATAAGAGAATTTAAAATAAATTGGTATCAGGAAAAAGTTGAAAGAAATTAAAGAATAAAAAAAACCATGAAGACCATGAATCCAGATGACTCTATGGTATTGTTTGACTATTATGTGACTTCTGAACACATCAGTAGAGCCATTCATCTATGTGAAAATCAAATTCACGAGTGATAAAAATGTTTTAAAACGAACTCGCCAATAACGGTAAACCCATAAATATCCATAGTCGCAGGAAAGTCTAGTTCAACAGTGTTGACTCCTTTCCCCATCGGGTCACGGTAGCTACAGCCAAAAACCAAGAACCATGAAAATAACGGAAACACACAGCAGTCCAAATAACTTAGTTTATCTTCCGAACTGTTTCAACAAAACGCCTAGTAGTTTTCTGATAATAAAAGTTGGTTGAAACTGGAAATTAAAATGAATAGAGACAAAATTACAACGCTATTTGCCAGAAACAGCAATAAAAATTTCAACTGATCAGATTATACTATTATATTCATATTTCATTCTAAGGATTAATAGTTTTTGATGTTATTTCAAAATATCAGAGATGTGTTTTGAAAACTATTGTGTATCAGCTCCTGGATTCTAATTTCCTCAGTTAAGCTAGTTGAACTCTGTTCCTTAACAATGTTAATCCCAACATTGAGGTTTGTTGGATCGAGGTCAGATAATTTTACTTCCAAATATGTTTTCTTGAATGTTCAAACTTACAAGATCGAAACTGATTAGTGTTTAGTTTCACACCAAGTAAGCACATCTCATGTTACAATATTTCACCACTCACTTAGTGCTGATGATAAACTTGTTTGTGGAGTTGTTCCTGCGTCCGATGGCGTATATTATCCCTTCAGTCACATCCAGGGAGATGCTGTCCACAGGACGTAACCAACCAAAGAACATGTCATGTGACAACGTCTTGCTCTGCTCACTGTACTGGAAAACTCCACTGTCTCCAACCCAGAACAACAATCTGTGGAGGACAAACACTGTAGCAAACAATGTTTGATTGACAATATTTAAATTTGAAAGTAACCTATCATCTATAAATACTCCTGGGGATGTATGTGCAGGGATATAACAAATTGTAGGAAACACATTGCAGATTTTTAAGCAACATTAATACCTCTGGCAGGGTACAAGAGCCTACAGCGTAAAGGGTCTTCCGAGATCAGTTAGTAGTGGATAAAATTAATGAAATTAAGTTAAATGAAAATCCTTTAGCGAACTTAGGACCTCGTGGTCTTTTCTTACAGTTAACCTCTTAGACCATCCTAGCACAGAAAACGTACTACTATAACCCAGAATGCCAACCGCATGGTAAAAAGCATTAAGCGTTTTGAGAGAGCTTTGCCTGTCAATCGGTAGGCAGCGCCACCAGCGTTGCTATGCTATTGGCATAAAACATATTGACATATTGCATGGACATAAAATGCCAAGGGTAAAAATTGGTAGATTAAGTAGGTTTGAGAGAGGGGTTTTAAGTCTGAAAAGCAGAAAGATATTGTGGAGAGTGTTAGTTTTTTATTGGCCTCTAGGGCTATATATAGAGGCTATAGTGGTGTAATTCTAAGATTTCCAGTGGGAACAATCACCATCGTCTAAGAACTGAGTAATATTTAAGATTAATGTAGGCCCATAGGACTATTGGAAAAAGCTGAGTGAGAAAGCTGTTTCCTTGTGTTCTCACTACACTACACCACTGGAGCGGCTGGGGCTAGTCAGTTTGACCCTGAGACTTTTTAAGTCCGAGTATAGCAGAAATGTATTAAATAAAATGGTGGTTTTATTTTACTGGCATCTGATGGGACTTCTGCAGCTATCTTAACCCCTGGTAGACATAGTGCTTGACTAGTAATCAACAGGTTACCATACACAACCTATTGTGCCAGTGTCGTAGTAATCTAGTCTAATAAGGTGGGATTATATTCAAACATACCTAAAAAATGTAGTGAGTATGAGACCAAAGGTCACAAAATGATTTGTTAGATTAATTACTAACAATTTTGATTATCTTATGACGAAATTTCGGGTTAAGAGACAAAATTAGATTTTAAAGTACGTAATTGTCGTCTCACCTGAAATTCTATCACACCTTTAAGTTTGTCCAGATAGCTTAGCCTACTATGAGATAGTCCAGGACTCTAACGTGTACGTTAATTAATTATCGTTTCGAGTTTATTGGCTCAGAATATTAATTACAATAATAATGCTTACAATGTTAAGCTTACCTTTAACAAGTGTTCATCATAGCCACTCGAAAAATATGTGACGCTAAATTTAGAATTTTGAATAACCTATAATGAATGCGGATGACCTAATTAATTAGAAACTTAACTAAAACGTGATTCGGTCGTTACACTTGGTAATCACCAAAGTAAACGTGTCGGGAAAATTAGACTCGGTTGATCACCAGAGTCGATACGGGGTTTCTTGAACCAAATATACGTGGGACGGTTCGGGGTAACGGAATAAGTACTACGGATATCGTTCTGGCAACTTCAATGATTTCCGTAGCTGGTTAAAGACAAAAGGCAGTGTGCTCGTGCGTGACAAAGCGTGCGCGGTGCGCGCGACTGCGGCACAATAAAATAAAAATAATAAAACTTCTGCAAAAATGAGAATAAACAAAATAAACTCGGTAGCACACTAACCTGATGCCTTAGGACTATACCAGGAATGGGGGAAATCTTTAATTGACCAGAATTTCGTAAGTTTGGATCTATCTCCAAACAGCAAGCGTACTGACGGTTTGGTAGCGGGTGGACGACTGATTCGAGGTCTGCTCTTCTGGTCCTTCTTCGCCATCGCCCCTGGCGGCGGGGTAGGTAACTAGCGTCATCCCCTCTACGATGACGTAGGACCATTGCCCCTACGATGCCGCTGACAACGCGGGCGCGGCTTACCCCGAACTTAGAAAATAATAATATTTAAAATGAAACTTTTAAAAATCGGGTTTTTACCCCTTGACGGGTTTTGGGTCGTTACAATCTTTATTTAAAAACTAAATGATTAAACTTGTCTCTACAGACTCACTTGCTGTAAGGGTCCACCCTGAGTTCCCGCCAGCCTGGGCTAATATCAGAGTTGTTGTGACTGAGGACTTCCCGAGAGTCGGCCTCCTCGCGAGATATCACATACACCACGGACTGCTGGTCAGCTATGTAGTACACCAGGTCATTGTGCCAGTCCACCGCCAGGCTGGTGACGGCTGTTTCTGGCCTGGTAACTATATGGGCTGGCAGCGCAATCTTCCTCCCGTAGGAGTACCTGGGAAAATAAATGTCACCAAAGCTTTTAATCTTCTTGGAATATATTCAACAAGATTACCTTGAGAAGGTTTGAGTCAAGCATAAATGAAACTCTAAGATACCTCAAATCAGGCATTTTTGGTACTTGTTACTTATTCTTACTGTGTGTGTATGTCTACTGGAAAAAAATGTTCTAAATATAAAGGAAAAACATTATAAAAATAGGCAGAATTTAATCAGTGAAAAATCCCTGTGGGTCCTAGGATTAAAACTACCTCTACTACAGTTAGGTCCAACTACAGTTATACCTAATGATAGTTTTGTTGGTGTAGGCGTACACCTCCCTCCTGTCATAATGGTAGTCCAGACATCTTGCCTTCACTGGAGCTATGACTGCATCATCCTCACCCTTGAACAGCTTGATAGCTCGGAACATTGCCAGCAGGAAGTGAGTAACTGTAAATATATTACATGAATAAATGTCAAGTATCTTCAAAAAGTTAATCCTGTACGCAGTCTTATAACCAGGGCATTGGAGTGATGAAAGATCAGAAAATAAATCTATTGATGTACATATTGTGGTTTTCAAATAAAAATGGGTAACAACTAGCTTGCTTACCAATCCAACACAGTAGACCATAGAACACACAAAAGACAGAAAACGCACAGTTATTTCCATCTGGACTTTTGACAAATGCAGACAGGTTATACATGTATATTTAAGCAAGGCCACACTTAAAAAACAGGCCGTAATGCTCGTCTAGCATGACGTCGTGATAGAAGACGGCAATGACGTAATGTTTTCCGTTTGTGATCAGCTGCTTGTTTTAATCTTTTCATCAAAAACAAAAATATAACCTTAATTACGTCATTGCCGTCTTCTATCGTGACGTCATGCTTGACGAGCATTACGGCCTGTTTTTTTAGTGTGGCCTTCATTCAAGGCATGTAACTGTCTGTCAAATGTGATTCACACAGGCCAATATCCTTAAATTCATAACCTTTCTGTGACATATCTGAACATTAACATATTTTAACAGGTGCATATTTTAACAACCTCTCAACAAATATGAAACTTATAATGTCTTTAATTTGAATTCAGCTACTAATTCAATAATTTTTCCTTGACTCCCCTCGTGAGTAAAATCTCCACTAAAGTAAAATCATTTTAGTAATCATCCACTATAGTAAAATCATTATGTTTATCACATTTAGTGACCTGTATTGCCAGTTTACCTGTGCAAGTCTTGTCGTCTCTAGCTAGAGTCATGTCTGCTGGACATGTACACTGTGGAGGCACCAACTCTACCACAGCCTCACAGGAATGTGAACACCCCACAGCACTACAGTCTGTGGATGTGGATTCCTTCCGTGTTCTGGCTGCATCTAGACACCAAACTGGTTATACAGTGTATTACAAAGAAATTTTTATGAGTTAAGTGAAGAGAAAGATTGAACTTGTTTTTCAACCTGACCCAAAAGTCAGGTAATTCTCACTACCTGAGCAGTCAGGCAGGTACCAGAGTGCCTAGCAGGTATCCAGGGATAGTAAATCTGAAAATCAATATTGAGATTTTCCAGCTTTGGCAAAAACTACTCCAGCCCCACAACGCAAGTACAGCATTACAGTATTGAAAATAGCTGTTTTTACTGCAGTATGACAATAAACTTTACCCAACACCCAAGAAAAATTGTTTTACAAAAATCTCAAAAACTATATTTTAAATAGTGTAAAACCAAAAGACGTAAAAGCAGAGGAATATAATCATCTTTTAAAATGTTATGATTTGAGCGGTAGTTTTCTTTTTAAAATTTGTTTAGTCAGGTGTTGTCTGAAAGCTAAAACATTTCCATTAGCCATTCATTAAACAAGACTGATCACTAAACACATGCAATTCAGTGAGACCCCAGCAGACAATACACCGCCATTTTAATTTTCGCACGCGCCGCGACATCAATCCATCCACAAAATGTTATAATTGAAGACGTATATTTAGACTTAGAGGTTATTATAATAATATCTGTTCTAAAATATATTATTTACCTGAATGTAAAACCATTGACTATTATAGACAAAGGTAAAACTTTAATTTTTGTATAACAACAATCCAATAATTTCTGCCCTGGAGCGATTGCTCAACCTCTTCCATGGTCGCTACGCTACTGTTACTTGGTAGAGTATTTTAACTCAATGGTCTTTGCTTTTTTGAGTTTCTTATTTCATAACAAAAAGTACAATTTTGATATATTTCTATTTTATAAAAACTGTGTGTGTGTGTGTTTACAGGTATTTACTACAGGTTATTTCAATGTACCTCTTACTTGTATTATCATATTTTATTACTATATTGCCAATAGCAGTGATTGAAATTTAGGAAAATAATTACTTCTAGTCTAGATTTAGAAAAATTATTGAAACTAACAACTTGCCTATGGTGGAGAATACCAATACAAGAGCAAGCATATGACAGAGCCCCATACTGTGAGATGTTTGTGCACAACACTGAAGTTACACAGCTGATAAACAGGGTCAAACTGACCTGATAACTCTAGCAACAACCTTCTGGGAAATATTTATTGCACTGGCGAATTCATATCTGTTACTTCTTTTAGAATTTCTAAAAACACAAAACTCGCTTTTGTTGGGGGATTTCCAATTATGGGATTTCCAATTACATTGAGAAACATGCTTATTACATTTTTCAAAGAAAATTTAATTCAAATCAAATCAAATCAAAATTAAATTAAAAATCATTTTTATTTCAGTAAGTAATACATTATTACAGTACTTTGTCAGTATCAATTTTATAGCTATGTAATGATTATAATAATATACTGACTTAGTAATTAATATGAAATGCCTCTCACATAGGCTACTGCCCGTGCGTGAGAGATTTCCGCTATCAGGAAATTAATATTAGAAATTGAGAAAAAAAATAGATATTTATGAAACATGACATGACAGTTAATTGGTAATAATTTGGTTGAAAGAAAAAGGCAATTCAAGAATAACTACAATAAAAAATATATATAAAAATATTGGTATGGCAGCTTTCTTATTTGGATAATTAGTGCAGCTTGGACTAATAAATTCCAGACAAAATTGCTTTTTCATAGTATTTGAAAATAACAAAACATAAGTGTGTGCACTATTAGATATTTCTTCTATATGTAGAAAATCAAATGTTTGTCTTATGCCCTATCAGTGCATTACTAAACAATCTATTCAATTGCAACAATACTTTGGTATATTGTTATTTTTTTCTGAGATGTGCACTAGCCGTTAGCACTATTCTCACAAAATGTGTTGGTTTAGATTAAAGGTAACATTTTAAACAGTTTGATGTGTTTATTTTATCTACTTGCTGTCTATTGACTGGCTTTATAAGCTGAGTCGTAACAATCTTGGATGAGCGCTAATTCTTGGCACAGTTGGATGGCTCTGAGTCTCCACAACACTGCTCAAAAGGCTTTGCATTCAACACACTCTTATTGAGAGCTTAGTCACCAATATTGTTAGCTCCTAGTTTCAACAGGACTCTTCAATGGAATCCGAGTCTCTAACTTGTTGCACACTCAGTACTACTGACCTAGACAACTTAAACTAGAATTGGTACAAGTCTATAGAAGACTCTGTACGTTAATTGCCGGGAATAGCATCAGGTTTCAGCCATAACCACTTTCAAAAGCTTAAAAAAGGATTTATATTTACAGGTTACTTGAAAATATGTATGAAATCCTGATTTACAGTTCTACCAAACGTTGTACTTGTAGGGTGAGTTCATGTAGGTGTGTGAGGCACATTGCCAGTCCTTGCTGAAGGTTTCGGAGTGTCTCAGTGGTCCGTTGATTCTCACACTGGCCGGGGGATGAACATCCACCATCACACTCGCCTTCACACTCTCGACACGCTCCACACTACACCAGCTGTCAACATACAACAAGTGATAAAAGGAGTCGCAACATTATTTAACAATAAACTGAGACATCAGAGACACACTTCTTTACATTGTACTGTACCTGGTAGCTGCTGCTAACCAGAACAGCTGGTCGGAAGAGAATTGCTCCAGTGTTGCCAATCTCTCGTCACCAGTGTTGCCACTTCGGGAGCTGAGATAAGCGTTGTAAGCCAGCTTCAGAGCTCCATGATCTGCTATCATCTCTCCTTGCACGTTGACTCCCTTTAGCTGTCGGACAAAACAAAGATATTGATAAAATCTGGGTGTAGCTGATGTTAAATGGACTTAGACTAGTTAAAAGCCTAGAATTAGTTTCTGTATATTGATTATAGTTAAAAATCTAGAATAAATGTGAAATTGTTATATTTGGTAATGTTGTCATAAATACAACATATACCTAAAAGTTCCATAAAAATGTTGAGTGAAGTTACCACCAAGTAGTGGACAGGGAACAATTTGATAAAAGTGTTGATAAAAAGAAAGTCAGTTACAAAACGTATCCAGCATATTAATCTCGGGATTAAATTACTGCTTGCCAAGAAATGAAAGGAATATATAATCGGAGTTTGTTGTAAAGGGAATAAGGAAATTTGACTGAAAGCAGGAGCTCTAACAGTACGGAATTTCATACTTGGATGTTAAAGCATTACTACATCAGGGGAACCAGCTCTAGAGCCTGACAATAATTTTTTAAGCCCTTGATGCAAAGTTGTAGTAGAAAATGGAAACCAATATCTGCCATAGACATTCGTAGTGACTCACCGTCATGTTGACCTCTTTGACAGTGCAGTTGGAGTACTCTGAGACGATGTCTGCAGCTCTTAGATTGAACTGACGGTCAGTCTCCTCATCCCACCATTGGTTCAGGTTGCCTCTGTCATCGTACTGCTTGCCCTGGATGACAAATAACACGCAGTTGAGAATGTTTAATAAAGGGCGAGATAAAATGAAATGTAAACTTCATACAGAGTTTACATAGACTGTCATTATTCACATATGACATTTCAATACATAATGACTTAACCCTTTCAGTGCTATGCGACTGAATATGTTTTTATTGTTGTGCGTCTTTTTGCCAAAAAGTGCTAAGTGGCGATATTTTGTGCTAGCGTGACTTTCGATCGTGTGAGTTTAAATGGGCATATTGGTTGACTCGGTTGTTGTTTGGAAACAGCAATGCTTTCTTTTGATTCCTCATACGATCAAAGCCCAATATATCGTTCCTTAGCACTTTTAAGATGAAAAATTTGATTTTTACCATTTTTTTCTCGCACACTAGACTTTGCCCCCGTGAAAAGCCTAGCACTTTTCGGATCAAATAAGTAAATTTAGCAAAATAGCATTTTTTGGAAAATTACAAAAAAAGTTCTAGCATCAAAAGGATTAATAACATGCTAAATTAACTTTAAAATAATTTAGGGAATAAGGACACAAGAACTCTATGGATAATATTTCATTTTCATTAAAAAATGTTTAACATTTTCTTCGGTTTTAATTTGTTTTGTGAGGTTTGGTGTTGATTTTTCTTATCATGTACCATATCTGGCAAATCTCTACAACCTATACTCGGGATATTGTAGAACTCTCCTGTGCCAAGTGAAATTACCTGTCATTTCTTTTTACGAAATTTCACATTTGAAGAATGTGCACTCCATGTACATTCTAAAAATTGTTATTTGAATAACAAGGGGGTACCAAGAAGAACATAATTTAGTATCAGCTAAAATCTTATAACTATTTGCAAAATAAAAATTCTCTTGACAATGGGAGAACTGTCTCATAAGATGATACCATTAGCCCTTGACATGAAGTAAAGAATGAAAAAAGCAATAGCTGAAAGTGCTGAAACAAAACCGAATATTTAAAAACCACTCTTAGTCCAAAATAGTTGGGCCAGAGACCAGATTGTTTGAATTTGATGATCAGGCAGTTGAAGATCGAAGATGCATTAATGAATCCAACGTCGCAATCTAACATTGGTTGATAGCTCTTTGTCATTTTTTACTTTGGCAAAACCTTAATGCTTACCAAACTGGAGTTGGTCCCAATGTAACACTGACCTCATCATCAACAGAGTGTATGAGCTCATGAGCCATCACAGCACCCAGGCCTCCGTAGTTGAGACTGTCGGGTCTATCAGGAGAGTAGAACATATATTGTAGAATACCAGCGGGGATCTCTGCAGAATAAAACATCAGTTAATTACGTAAATAGAGTTGTAACACGTAGCATTCAGAACAGTACAATGCGTTTAACTTGAATAGATCGAATCATTTAGTGACGAGCAGAATGTGCAGGTACATCAGAACCCTCGCCTACCACCATCGCTTTTGTTATTTTATAGAGTCATCCAAAAAGTAGCTGTATTATAATGTTATATTCACATATCATCATATGTTAAATGTATCATATGTTAGTTGAAGGCTTGAAGGTAAACAATATCAGTCATGTTTATGTTTCAGTCTTGAGTGGAATTGTAAATAAACTTCTGAACTTGAAATGTTAAAGCTTCTAATTTTATTTATATTTTCTAACTAAAACATGGTGTCAGGTGTATTTTGAAACCTAGAAGAAATAATGGAAGTATCTGGATTGTTTAGGTTGCCTGAACCTATGAGTTTTGAAGGAAATGTGAGTGAAAATTGGAAAAGATTTCGTCAGAAGTTTGAACTGTACTTAATAGCTACTAGTCATGGTAAGAAACTTAAGGATGAAATTAAGATTGCGCAGCTGCTTAATCTGTTAGGCGATGATGGCCTAGATGTATATAATACTTTTAAATTTGAAGATAATGACAAAGATAGTTTTGATTGCGTACTTGATAAGTTTGAATCTTACTGTTGTCCTCTGAAAAATGTCATATTTGAGCGGTTTAAATTCTATAGAATGAAGCAGGAAGAAGGTCAAGACTTAAGTAAGTTTGTTATGCAGTTAAAAATAGCAGCTAAATCATGCGAGTTTCTTGAACCTGACAATATGATTAGAGATAGAATTGTCTTAGGTATAAGAGATAAAAGTACTCAAGAGCGTCTATTAAGAGATACAAAACTTGACTTGAAGAAAGCTATTGATTTCTGTATGATTGTAGAGAGTAGCAAGGATCAATGTAGGACTATTGTAGAGCACAATGAAACCAAGCTTTCGGGGACTAAGTCGGATCCATACAGTGTATGTGTTGTTAATAATGTACCAAATCAAGAACTTTCGCGGAGTATTGCAAAAGAAAAACAGAATGATCTATGTAGCTTTTGCGGCTACAAACATGTTCGGGGTAAATGTCCTGCATATGGCAAAACATGCTCGAAATGTGATGGTAAAAATCATTTTGCAAAGGTTTGTAGGAGTAAAACTATAAAATCTCATGCTGTTACAAACGAGGAACAACACGATGAAGACTCTTGTGTGAGCGATGTTAGTTTAGGCTCGGTAAGCTTAAACATTAGTGGAGTGAAAGGTCAAAGTGAAAAATCGTGGACGGAAAACTTGACTGTTGGTGGTACACAAGTTAGATTTAAACTAGATACAGGTGCAGAGATCAGTATTTTACCTGCTAGTTATGTACGGAAAATGAACATTACACACGTAAAACGTAGTTCTTGTGTACTCTCAGCCTGGGGAGATGAAAAATTCAAAATCAAACCACTAGGTCTTGTGATGTTACAATGTAAAACAATTACAGGTGTAACTGCAGATGTGAATTTTGCTGTAGTGAATGTCGAACATGAACTGCCAATTTTAGGACTGAACGATTGTGTCAATTTAGGACTCATTAAGAGAGTGTCATCGATATGTTTGAATTTTAAGGATAAGGATGATGTTTTAACCGGCTACAAGACAGCTTTTGAAGGATTGGGACAGTTTCCAAGCACTCATCATATTCAGCTTAAGGAGGGTGCTATCCCACAAATTCGACAATCACGGAGAGTACCTTACAGTTTACAGGAAAAACTAAAGGAAAAGTTGGACCAACTTGAGGAAACTGGGGTGATTCGAAAAGTTGACAAACCTACAGCATGGGTCAATCCTCTGGTGATCGTGGGAAAACCCGATAAGTCTTTGAGAATCTGCATAGATCCGATGCCATTGAACAAGGTGGTAATGAGAGAGCACTTTCTAATGCCACACCCTGATGATATTCTGGTAACATTGAGTGGTTACAAATATTTTACTGTTTTGGATCTTAAGGATGGGTTTTTTCAAATTGTTTTAGATGAGGAGAGTCGTGAACTGTGCACAGTCAGTACCCCATTTGGGAGATATCAATTTTGTAGATTTCCTTTTGGAATCTGTTCGGGTCCAGAATTGTGCCAGAAAAATAATTACAAATGCTTTGGAAACCTGAAGGGAGTTAACATAGTACATGATGATATTATTGTAGGAGAAACGACATCGGAAGAGCATGACGAAAATTTAAAGAGAGTTTTGGACACAGCCCTTAAACTTGGAATCAAGTTTAATCCAAACAAGATGCAATTTAAGAAGAGCGAAGTTAAGTATCTGGGACACATAGTATCGGCTGCAGGAATCCAACCCGACCCAGATTATGTAAAGGCCATAGTTGAAATGGACCCACCCACGGACAAGAAAGGGGTAATGCGGTTATTGGGCATGCTAAAGTATTTATCGAGGTTCATACCAAATTTAGCAAAAATCACTGCACCCCTCAGACATTTGACAAGAAAGGATGTGGACTTCTTATGGACCGTAGAGCATGAAGATGCTCTGAAGATTATCAAGACATTAATTTCCAGTGAACCAGTTTTGGTATACTTTGACTCTCGAAGACCTCTTGAAATACAAACAGACGCTTCTCAAGATGGCCTAGGATGTTGTTTGTTGCAGAGTGGGCAGCCAGTGGCTTTCATGTCCCGTTCATTGACTGATACAGAGAAGAGATATTCGCAAATCGAAAAGGAAACTCTAGCTATAGTTTTTGCTGTTGAGAAGTTTCACAGGTTTATTTATGGCTATAAAGTAACAGTTCAGACTGACCACAAGCCGCTTGTAAATATTTTTCAACAAGATTTGCACGTGGTACCAGGTCGGCCGCAGAAAATGAGACTAAGGTGTTTGAATTATGATCTGGAAGTAAAGTACTTACCTGGTAGCAGCCAACTTATTGCTGATACGTTGTCAAGAGCAGCATTAAAATGCACAGGAATGACAGTGTCTTCAGAATTTCAAGTACACAGTTTAACAAGTTCATTGCCTATGACTGAAGAGAAGAAGAGATTATTCCAGCGTTACACTGAAGAGGACCAAGAAACTGCTATTGTGAAGAGATACTGCAAAGAAGTTTGGCCAGAAAGGAAGCAAGACACCCCAGAGATAGTACGCCACTATTGGAACCAAAGACATATGGTATCTGAAGAAGATAGTTTATTGTTTTTAAATCACAAACTGATTGTGCCACGACAGCTACGACAGGACATGCTTCAGCGAATCCATATCGCGCATGGAGGAATTGAAAAGTGCAAAGCTAGGGCTCGACAGATACTTTATTGGCCACGAATGGCTACAGACATTGAAAGTTTTGTGGCTCGTTGCAGGATATGTGAAAGGTTTTCCAGGAGTAATGCAAAGGAAACCCTTATGCCGTATCCTATACCTACTAGACCATGGGAGCGTATCGGATGTGACATATTTTCATATGGAGGAAATATGTACTTGGTCATGATGGATGCTTACTCAAACTGGTTGGAGCTGGTTAAAATGCCATGTAAATCAGCAACGTCTGTAATATCAGCATGCAAAGACATCTTCAGTAGATTTGGCCCTCCTGATATAATGGTAGCGGATAATGTCCCTTACAACAGTGCCCAAATGAGGGAATTTGCCCGTGAATGGAATTTTGAAATTGTGACACGCAGTCCAGGCTATGCACAATCCAATGGGCTTGCTGAAAGGGCAGTTGGAATAGCCAAAGAGTTGATAAGGAAAGTAGAGTATGACAATAAGGATTTGAAAATGGCTTTATTGGAGCTTAGGAACATGCCCGTTAAGCATCTGGGATATTCTCCAGCTCAGCTGATGTTTCAACGCAGGTGTAAGACAACAATCCCTGTTACCGAGGAACTGCTGAAACCAACGCTGAATGATGGAGTACAAGACAAGTTAAATACAAGACAACAGCTGCAGAAAAAATACTATGATCGGTCAGCCAAGGACTTAAGGGTTGTAAGAAATAACGAAAGAGTTGTCTTCAGAAATGAAGGAAGGTGGGAGCAGGGAAAGATTGTTAATCAAGGACCAACTCCAAGAAGTTACTGGGTAGAAGGTGATAACGGGGCTACATTAAGAAGAAATCGCCGCCATCTGAAACCATCACTCACTCAACAAAACAATTCCCAGCCAGTTCCAAGGCAAGACGAGCCAGTACAACTAAGACCGCGTAGAGAAATCAAGCTACCATCAAGATTTCAGAACACAATATAATAGTCTCAAAAGAAGGGAGAAGTTTGGTTGGTTATTGTTTTTAGTTAATTCTTTCAAATTTGTTTGCTGTTTTTTTTAAAGGGGAAAGATGTATTATAATGTTATATTCACATATCATCATATGTTAAATGTATCATATGTTAGTTGAAGGCTTGAAGGTAAACAATATCAGTCATGTTTATGTTTCAGTCTTGAGTGGAATTGTAAATAAACTTCTGAACTTGAAATGTTAAAGCTTCTAATTTTATTTATATTTTCTAACTAAAACAGTAGCTGTTATATATAATTTAATATACATATTCAGAGTAAGGGAAGTTTTCTTTCTTTGCCATTCTAGAGGTTACATACCTTGTTGCCAACGTAATCATTGGTCGCCTGAATGGTGACCAGTTTCGATACTCTTAAGGTGTCATTGTCAACGTATGGTTGTCCCTCTTATAGGAGGTCGTCAAAAATTTTCCAAAACACATGCAAGACACAAACATAAACCAACATTTTTACAAAGGAATAATACTGTATGGCCATACAACTGAGTCAGTCTTGACCTACACCCTGAACCTGCAGCCGTGCCGTAATCATTAGCCATTTAGACGAACAAGGATTACATTGGCAAAGAGTTACAGTATTTTACCTCTAGAATAGTAATTGTTAAGTAACCCTTAGGCAACACCTGAAAAAATGTCTTTTCTTACCCTCCTCTGCCTACTAATTGACACAATCTTTACCAATTGATTTGGTCTGTGCTTACACTTACTAAATTCATGTCCTCAGTAGCGTAAATGTAGACTTTCTTACTAAAGCTATGTAATTCTCATAAAATGTTGACACTTTATTTGCCACTGATGATCAGAGGGAAATTTTTGCTTATATAATGTATGATATATTTAATTTTGCTGCTGTGATGTATAATGTTGTCAATGATTTACATACTGACCTACAGCGTTGTGGTCGTCCAGGTAGAATGCATTGACCTCAGTGACCTCACAGTGAGCGTCCCACCTGGTCTTGTTGACCTCTGACCTCAGCAGACTGAGTGCTTTGTGACTCTCCCAGTCTTGCAGACTCAGCACAGACGACAACAGGTCTGCTGACACATCCACCTGGCAACAGAAAACTGAAAAGGAAATTGCAACAAGAAAAAGAAAACAAATAATACCAGGCTCACATCAGGTGAAATATGAAAGCGAGTTCAAGCATTCAATGCTCCTTCAGAAGTACTAAAACCAAGACTTGGGATTTTTTGATTTGGGATTTTTGGATTTGGGATTTTTGGGAGGATAGCAGGCTTATCTGGATGGGAAAGAGTCCAAACTGGCACAAGATACACAACACTTTAAATCTAAAAAAATCTAAAATAAATTTCTTAGTAAAAGATCAACTTGTAAACATTTACCTTTTCATAATATTCCTCTAGCACTCTATCATCAAGAAGTTCATCTGGGTATCCAATATGGTAGAATATACTATCTGCTTTCTTTTTTGCTCTTCGTCTGAAAAGTAAACTTTGTTATATTTACAATATTGTACAATATTTTACTGAAATAGTTAACTTACCTACGGTACAGGCAATTTGCAGTACCGCGTTTATAAAGGACCTTGGGGCACAAGAGTTTTTGGTTTTGTTGGGGGCGCAAGCAGCATAAAATATTTTAAATCGTGCGACAGTGGAATCCTCCTCACTCACACTTCCCACTCATAACTCATCACTGCAACTGATTGCATATGTCACTACTTGTTCCGCCTTATCTTTATTTACCTATTTGTAATGAATTTTAATGTCATTTTTTCAATACTCACCAATGTCAGTTCCTTTTGTTCACATATTACCAATTGGTTAGTGAACAAATAAGTTATTGTAGTGTGTTTGCATGTGTACAGAAAGTGGTGTAACCCTAATAATTAACTTAAGTTAAATTAAGCTGAACTCACCTTGTTCGCTCGTCCATCCAAGGCACTTCTGTGATAAGTTTCTGGAACTGTTGATGAATCACTCCTACCATTCTCGTCACAGCTGGTTTCATGTCTCTAGAAACATACTTCTTTACATACGCAGCTCCAACAACATGTTCAAACCTGAAACATTGAGGATTCAAACTCAATAATATAAAGAAGTACTAGAAAAATATGCACCAGTGTGAGCTAACTAAAGCTGTAGTAATTCTATTGATTTAACTTCTTTTACAACTTCTAACTAACTTTTAACTTCTTTTATAAATGGTGTTTTTTTTTTTTTTTTGGAGGTTACCATATTTTTTTAATGTACAGTATCAAGAGAATAGTTTGTACCTATACAATATATTAAACTCTGCATATTTGTGAGCATAATTAAATACAAGGTACCTCTTGTTTATTATTTTTCCAAACTCAACTGTATGATACAGATGCCCATCTATTATTCTTACCTGTCAATCAGATTATTGACACAAAACTCCCATCTGGGCTTGAGCTTGGTGGCACCAGTGAGTGCAGTCATCAACACTAGACGCAGACGAGACACTCGAGTGGTAAGGTAGGGCATGCTCTCGTACACAATGTGCCACAACATGTAGTTGGCGACGATCCTGGACAAAGAAATATACCTCCCAGCGCTTATTGTTACACTGTTTATGTACATTTTTATAAGTTTGAATGAAATCTACATGTGTGTCTCTCGTACACTTTTACTATACTCCATCCACAAAATGTTGGCTGTTTAGGGGCAATGTTTCCATCCCCTCCACCTCTCCCCAACTTTGAAAACAGCTGAGAGATGATGTATACATTAAGAAAAAAACCTAGTGGTTGGAGAATCTAGGAAACCTTCATCTTAAACCGCCTAAATTTTGTGAACGGACTATAAGACCAGCTTTAAACCATTATGTAGGCAACATATTACATGTTGACAAACACACACAATACAAACACAATTGACAAAGCCATGTGTAGAGCCTGAATCTGTGTGTGTGGTATGTACATTGATGAATAAGGGAGATCGTACACAGGGGGAAGAAGAGTTGGGATTGGGAAGAAGAGAACAGTGAAAAGTGACTGTTTACTTATACATCTAAATTAAAAATTATATTGAATTTTTTCATTAAAGTGTTAATCGTCTCTCATAACAAAATTAATGAATCGTGTATATTGACGACGATAAGAGAGAGGTGCTAAGACCTCGAGGCAGTCCCAGAACTACAACACATTCAGCTATGTTGCTGTTACACACTGTATTGTAACTTCTTTGTGATGAAATCAAAGGAAGATTAAGTTGAACACTAGACTAGAAAAATGTTTCAAAATAATTTACAAACCACATTAAAAATGTTAAAACTCGTGTTTGAATTATTTTTATGAAGGTTTAGATAATCAATATGAATAGGAAAAATAAATTTTTTGATTGGTAAATCACTTATTTATCCAGTGAAGTGTCATTGCATAATGTAGAAACTATATAACAAATGAAATGCCTAAAGATGTTCAGCATATTTGTTTTTGTGTGTTTTCTACTCCAACGGAATTCTTTTTCCATTTGAAAGAGAACTGTCCAAACTCTGGTCTTGTTACTATCTAATGTCGACCTTTTTGTTAGATATGCCAATAACTAATGGCATCTGGGTCTAGAAAACGATCTTGCTAGAAATCAAGCCAGCGACCTTTAGATTTGAAGTAAAAGTATGACAGCAACTCTAATGTTATTTAAATTCCAGTAAATAGTTATCAATCAATGCCTTGCCTTTTGTCAACTCTCTCAAGTAGTTCTCCAAGATGTTCAAAGAATGATGGAACTGCAACGTTGACCACTTCATTAGGTGTGATTGTAACATACCTGTTGATCAGAAAAAAGTATCAACAGGGTTAAAAAGTTCTTGACAATGATAAAACAATATTAGGTACTTGAGAAATAGAAAAATTACTTAAAATATGGAATACAATGTGTGTTTAAAGTATAAAAATTAACAAACTTGTACAAATCTACAAGTTAGTTTGTAATTAATTAATCGAGTACCAGCAACCCACCGTTTGAGACAGGCAGGTATGAGCATGCTCCAGTTAGCGTAAGGGAACCTGGCATCCATTTGTTTTAGAGTGAAGGGGTTGTAAAGCTGGAAGTGGTCTCTCATCTCCTCTTGTGGCACTGAAATCTAAAGTGAGTCAAATCTTAAATCTTATAAACATAAAACATCCTTAGTGACTCAAAGAATTGTAGAAAACAGATGTCTTGTTGACTAATATCAATTATCAATTATTTAAGACGGGGTAAAAGACGCACTATGTGCGTATTTTAACCCAAATATGAGTGAAGGATGAGTGTAGGATAGATGGGTCTATTAATATACAAGTACATTAAGAGAAGCTTCAAGTTCTTTCACCTCCTCTCTGCTCTATACATCCATTGATTATGACACTGCTTGATGTAAAAAACGTTTTGCTGTACCGGTAGTCTTTTTGAGAGTTTACAAACTGTTTACAACTCAATTTGTCTCGGTAGGCTGGGTAGCCAAGTAGTTATAGTGCTCATCTTCAAATCTGAAGGTTTCTTGTACAATTTGAAGCAAGATTCTTTCTAGACCCAGATAAAATTTGTCATTGGGCTGTTAGAGATGGGCGTTATTTAACATAACAGGATGAATAACAGTGTTACGGCCGCGGCAAAGTTATTGCGCCCCTGTTATTATAATAACTTATCTATTCACACCATGTTGCAGGAAAGCCACGCGGACAACAAAAACGAAAACATATATTGCCGTTAGTGCTGTTGCCGCAACGCTACCAGAGCAACGATAACTTCGGAAACAAACTAGAATTAGAATAACGCATCCTGTCTGGACAATTCCCGACTCCCAACTAAAACTGAAAACTGAACTGATCAACCCACAACGATAACTGAACGCCGCAACACCAACCGGCGGACAACGGTTTTTAGCAACAACGAGTTGGCAATCGTTATTAAAATTACAGGCCAGCCCGAGCAATGACGTTTGTTTGCACCAAAAAATACTCCATTTTTTGTCCCAAAAGATAATTTGCGCTCTTCTCCACCTCCGTTGTGGGGGAATTTTTCTCTTCCTTGAGCCTCCAACGAACCTAAAACCTCTTATGCCCCTGGACCTATTTATTGAATCGGCCCTGTTTACACAATCTATACTTTTGTTACAACACTTTCAACGACATGTCTTCATTGTTTTGTAGGAATTACCATGTCATCAAGCTCTTTATAAACTTTCAAATATTCATTCTCTATTGTTATTTATTGTATAAAAAAAAAACATTCCCTTGAGTACTCCAAAAAATATTGACCTTAGCCAACTCCATCTCTAGCATGAGTACATCGCTCATGTCCTCCTTGGCGTAGTGGAAGGGGACTCCAAACTGTACTGCCACCTCCACCATCATCTCATAGTAGGCCAGCACCACGTCGTCCTCAAGACCTTGCACCAGGTACTCACGTGGGATGCCTAGGACTGGCTGGGACAGCTACAACAATCAAGGTTTAATGAAGCAATGAAGTAAGTGTAGTTTGCTCTAAGTTCAATTTTGACATTTACTTATTTAACAAAATGTGTATCTGCAAATAGGACTACAGACATTTTGAAACATCTACATAGTTACCATATACATAGGTTACATAGTAGACCTTGTATGGAAGATAAAGCTACATACCTCTAGCTGATACCTGGAAGTATCATTTGCCACCAGAGCCACAGCCACATCCACCACCATGTCCCAGCACCAGCCCCTCTGGGCTAGCCACACTGTCATGTTGGTCCAGTGGAAGTTGTCAGGGTCCCAGACACCGTGGTCGTCCATCACAGGCCACCCTCCCAGCTGCTCTAGCCTCACCTTCATGTCATCAAGGTCCTGGTCCTCTACGGCCTCTGGAACATCACCATGACAAAATCACTAACAACTTGGAACATAAATTTGTAAAAAAAACAGTTAAACTTCTGTGTAACCAAGTATACTACATGGCAAAGGTGGCTGAGCAGATATAGGTCTTGTCTAGTCATCAGGAGGATGCCGATTCAGTCCTGAGAATGGTGAAATTTTTATGGATCAAAACTGAACCCAGCTATCCTTGATGATTGTGCAGTAAATGATCTTGACTAAAGAATCAGCTGATCTAAGTCAGTAACAAAGCTGTAATCTCATTTGCAACACTTATGATTTTTATCTTCGCCTTAAATTATTAACATTTATTATTTATGGACCTTCATTGTGTAGACCTCTATATTATTCCAGTAGATAGTTACCAATGTCCATGCAGGCTCTGTAGAATGTATTGGCTAGCTGGTAACACCTAGGTTTCCCTTTTAATGCTGACGTAGAGTTAAACTCTGCCTGGATCCTTCTCAGTATCTTCATCTCCAGATCTGATGTTGATGTCCACATTTCCTATAGACAGTGACACACAAGAATAGTTACTATATAATGTTGTCTTTCATGACAAAAAAGGGTTAATAATTAATAGGTATAAGTGTAATTGAGTTGGAGACTTTATAGGTGTTGTAGTTTATGTAAAATATTTTCCCTTGCAATTTTTTTTTTTTTATTTTACTACCATATCAATAATAACAGTAGACATTTTGTGTAGTTGCCAGTAGGAAATTCGCCTTTTCTATGACTCCTGGGGAGGGCATATCGGTAGTGGGAGTATAGCTGACAAGCCATAGTGCAGCATTGGTAAGCGCTTCGTGTACCTGCAAGTCTACACTGTCTGTTAATTTTGGTCGTGTATCTACATTGAAAAATAGCATTTCATTAACAGTGTGCAAACATGAAGTTCTGTGTTTAACAATTTAAAAACCCCACCTAGTGAGACTCTTGAGTTGTTAATTCAAACTTAATGTTGAAGAGGCAATGTAGAAAAGTAAAGTTTAATAATAGCACAAACAGTTTCGTGAAGGCCAGGAACCATCACTAAGAATTACGGACTTTTACACTACCTATCTAATTAGACTCGACAGTGGATATGTGTTAAAAAGACACATCAACCAACTACGACTCATTGAAATGCCAACAAAGACTGTCAAATTTGCTCCCACAGTACAAGAAGCCACTTCGGAAGAACCAAGACCACATCATCCATTTGAAGACCTCATCACAATCTCTACTGAACAACCACCGCCACTAATCAATGAACAACCTCAACATGAGACAGGAAATGAAAGTCCAGCACTGCGCAGATCCAATAGAACAAATCGCCAGCCTGAATATTTGAAAGACTTTGTTACGTCTTAGTTTTGTTGTTTTTATTTTATTCTTCAATACAAATTATCTTTTCTAATAAGTGTGGGAGAATTATAGTATATCAACCACATGTTTAATAATCTATATAATCAATACGCTACATGAAACTTTGTCGGTTGATCTCCTCCCCCATTTCTTAACCGATTTTATCCATTGACGTCTCATTTTTTTTTTTTTTTTTTTTTTTTTTTTTTTAAAGAGGTTCAGATTCAGATTCAGATTCAGATTCTTTATTCGTCACAATACATTCTCCTCCCCAGCACAGCTGGTAAAACAGGTGACATGTCAACATCTTAAAAACTAAAAACAAAATATATACATGATACAATTTTTCGGCAAAAACTTAATCGAATTCCTTAATTTTATATACATTAACATAATATTACAAAGTGTCACATAAAAAATCATTTATACAATAGTATACTTTGTTTAGCAGCAGGGACTGAACTTCTTTCTCAAACTTAAGATCATTATCAATATTCATTATCCTGTTTGGTAGCTTATTATATAATTTCTTACCAAAATACTGAGGCAACTTTTCAAAGGAACTTAATCTGTGAATAGGAAACTGGAAATCATTTCTGTTCCTAGTCTGATAATTGTGAATATGTTGATCTTCCATCAACATATTAAAATTAGATTTAACATAAAACAGACATTTACTAATGTACATAGATGGTAGTGTTAAAATTTTGAGTTCCCTAAAAATAGATTTACAGGATGTTTTAGGTTTAGAATTTGTCATGATTCTAAGATATTTTTTTTGTAATTTAAAAACAGACTGTATACCTGAACTACCTCCCCAAAGCTCAACACCATACTGCATTGATGAAGCGAACAATGCATGATATACAATCAATCTCGTCTGTAAGTCAGTAATTTTTTGCAGAACAAACATTTGAAAACAAAGAGAATTTAATTTTTTGATCAAAATATCAATATATGTTTTCCAGTTTAGTTTTTCATCAACCTCGAGACCCAAGAACTTTGTTGACTTTACAATAGGAAGGTGATCATCATTTAATATTATTTGATTAAGATTTTGTTCCTGTCTTTGCGTAGTGCTAAAATTGATTACATTAGTTTTACTACTATTTAATTTAAGACCATTGGCCTTGAACCACACTTGCAAATCTGTGAGGGAATTCTGAATAATTTGCTGTAAATCTAAAATGTTGTTTGATTTAAGAATGGCTGTAGCATCATCTGCATACAGAACAATTTTGAAATCAAAATTTTGTGCTAAATCGTTTATATAGATTAAAAACAGAATAGGACCAAGAATTGAACCCTGGGGCACGCCCCGCGTTCCTTTCCTCCATTCAGATTTAAAAACCATATCATTTTTTTTAATAACAGTTCTGTGGTGTCTACCAGATAGGTAACACTTAACCCAAGATAATGCGGAAGAAGCGAAGTTGTAAACTTTTAACTTATCAAGAAGAATATCATGTACCACACAGTCAAAAGCCTTGGATAGATCGCAGAACACACCAGCTGTGGTCTGCGATCCATCCAAGCCCTCCGATACACACCTGATTAAATCTGCTATGGCTAAAACTGTGCTCTTATTTTCTCTAAATCCATATTGTTCCTTGATAAATAAATTATTGTCTTCAAAAAATTATAAGATTTGTTTATTAGCTATTTTTTCAAAAACCTTTGAAAATGCAGGAAGCAGGGACACCGGCCGATAATTGTCAATATCCAATTTACTTCCTTTTTTAAACAGTGGTTTTATTTCTGCATATTTAATTTGGTAGGGCAATGTTCCAGAAATGAGTGACTGATTTATAATATTTGTTAATGGTTTTGAAACTTGATTGGCAATCCTTTTCAATAAAAACAAAGGAACCTCATCCCATCCTGAAGATCGCTTGTTCTTCAATGATTTGATTATTTTATTAACATGATTTTCATCTACTGGACTGAAGTGAAAAACTGGTAAACTTTGACTCCACTCATTTTTTTTCATTGCAAATCTAACTGCCATTTCCCTTGATGGTGAAATCTCATTCTCTAAACAAATATCAGTAAATTTATTGTTAAAAGTATCAGCTATTTTATTACCATCTTTTAAACACTTATTTTGGAAAACAATGTCTGAAAAGCTATTTTCTTGAGTTGCCTTTAAACCTAATTCCCCATTAACAACTGACCACACTGCCTTGCTTTTATTGTCTGCTTTCTCTATAAAAGAGGTGTTTGCATTTCTTTTTGCCCTAGAACAGACAGCTTTAAAATTTTTCTTAAAAACTTTACAATACTCTTTAAAGGCATGGTTATCAGATTGTTTTGCTAAGGCTTGCAATTCTCTGTTCCTAGCACTTAATTCTCTAATCTCTGAATTTACCCATTTTTTCCTATTGTTTTTTCGGTGTCCTGCTTTACAAGTTTTTAGTGGAAAATGTTCCTCAAAAATCATCTTAAATCTAGAAAAAAAATCATTAAAATTACATTGAACTGAATTATTTTCACTAAAATCCCAATTTTCCTCATTTAAAGTAGAAATAAACTGATCAATTTTTTTGGCTGAAAAAGACCTACTATATCCGAGTTTCTTAAAATTTACAGAGTCACTACTAAATTCAATATTACTATCTAATGTAATAAATAAAGCTCTATGGTCAGATACTCCTAATTCCATATTTAGAGTTTGGTGTTGTTCAACTTTCATATTAATTAATACATTATCTATACAGGTATTTGTTGTAGGCGTTATACGTGTTGGCTCAAAAAAAGTTTCCTTAAATCCAAATTGCCTAATTATGTTAAGAAACGAATCTTTGTGAATAGGGTACCTACAGTTATCTAATGTATCCACATTAAAATCTCCAGCAATATAAATTTGTTTTTTTTTAAGTTCTTTTCTTAGCAACAATAGCAAAGCTTCTAATTTACAGAGAAAATTGTTAATATTAGTCCTATCAGGTGTACGATATAATGATATTACAATACTTCTTAGGCTAGGTATTTCTATTGCACATCCTTCAAACACAGCATCTTCAAAGTAAATGTTTAAATCATCTCTGTTTAAAAAAGCTAAATTATGCCGAATAAGAATACATGTACCACCATGAGTACCCTGTGATCTACAAAAGTATGTTGCTAGCTTATAATTTACCAATGTATTCAGGAGGTTAACATTAGCTGTATCCAGAAAATGCTCATTTAAGCACACAATATCAATGTTTTTATTTTCTAAAAAAAATGTTTAACATATTAATCTTAAATGTTATACTACCCTGTATGTTAAAATGCATCAACCAAACATTTTTATTATCTTTAAAACAGGCAGTATCTAAAGGACTATCGTTATTTATTCTATTACATTGTTTAAACTTACATTTACTACGGGTTTTATAACATTTTCTAAAAAAGGTACATTACTTGTATCAGTTGAAGTGGATTCCATATGGTGTGTGTCCCTCGCTGCCACTGGAATAGTTTTTTCCTGTAGCGGGGATGTCGGAGTACAGGTGATAGGTGTGGATGAGGTCACCGCAGATGAATTGTAGGAGGTCAATAGCATGACTTCATCTTCACTGTCTTCTGCATCAATGAGTGAAGAAGGGGAGATGGAGATACCCGCAGATTGTGCTAATGGATGGTCCGTTGGTTTTTGCACTTTTAATTTGGTGTTATGTTCTGTGACGAGTTCTGTGAGTCTGTTTAAAAGTTCGAGATGACTAAGTCCGCCTCTTATCACTCTAGTAGACACTTCATCATACAATGTGATATAAACCGTAGCCTCAGTTTTGGTTTGAAAATCTGTTATATTTTTCACAAAGTGTTCAGGAAGAATTCCATCCCTAGTACACCCCATAGGAGAACATACAAGTGTTTTTAAACCTCTTTTTTTAAAATCTGCAGTGAGTTGTGTAAAAGCTTTGTCATAAACCTCAGTAGATGGTTTTTTGAAATAGGCTGGCTTCGTGACAAGACCATACACGTACGCTCCATTTTTAACTCTCTGACAAGTGATATTATCATCAACAAAGTCCGTATTACAGGGTCTACCAAACTTGCGCCTAAAAACAACAGCCACTCCAGAAGACATATTTTTAGGGTCGTTAAAATCCGAAGATATACAGTGAGCGAAAGCTAAGGATGATTTACCCCTTAGCTGCTCAATTGTGTCATACATGTTGGATTCTACAACATTGATGGCAGTATCGGTGGAAAAAATTGATGCATTAGAAGATGTGTCTTTTTCGACCAGAAGATGCGCCACAGTTTTAGCTATGTCTGTTTTCCCTCTCTTGTTATAATGTAGGCCGTGAGTTGTAAAATAGTGCCGAGGAAGTACATGTAAAGGGAGCAGTTTTACGTGGTTTTTCTTCGCTACTAAGTTTTCGATTTCCACATTGACTCTGCTTATCTTTAGGTCCAAGTTCGGTGTATCATGTCTCATTGGTAAGCTTGCTAAAATAAGATTTGTATGTTCTGTTTTACTAATAAGACTTTGAATATCATTAATAAGCCGACTGATACCCGTAGTTTCCATATTGTTAGTTCCAGCTATAACCATGAGGTAATCTTGTTTGTCCAAACCTTTGGAAAGTTCCTCAATTTCCTCTGTCACCTGGTTAAATTTAGCTCCTGACCTAACAAAGGAGCAAACATTGAAGGGTGCTCTTTGTTCGATTAAATTGCTTAAGTGTTTGCCATGACTGTCTGCTAGAATCACCAGTTTTTTCCGAGATTTATCAACTTTATGGCTTGTTTGAGATTTATTCCCTATTTTGCAGTTACTATTTACATGCCCGAGAAATGACTTACTATAGGCTACTTCTTTGTTAGGTACATTGCCTGCAGGAATGTCTTGTGACAGTATAGAAAAACTGTTTGTACACTCTATATTACTTAAGCTATCAGTGGTAATACTAGGCTTTGTTGTAGGGCTTTTTGACTTGACTCTGCGCCATGGGTTTAGCTTTGATGGAGAAAGCAAAGGGGGGTAACAGTTAGAGCAATTTTGACTAAAAGCTTTCAGTTGGTTGATTTCTTGTTGTAACTTTTCATTGTCTTCCTTTAATAAATTGAGTGCGAGTTGGAGATTTTTATTTTCAAGCTTAAAATGGTTAAGTTCTTGCTTAAGAATTTGTGTTTGAAAATCTTCACCTGTATTATCAATACTATTTTTGTTACTACTTAGTGTTTCTTCAGGACAGGACAAGGTATTTGAAGTGCTGTTTATGGTAGTTGCAGTTTGAGTTTTCTGGGACTGATTACCTAATTCATCTCCTCTACTAGACAAAGGAGAGAATTGTGTTAAAAATCCAGAATGTCCTTGAGTTTGCTTAGCTGAGGGAGTTTTTGATTTTTTTGAAGTACCAGGGCTCATATATACTTTAGCTATATTTGTCAACGCAATATTGTATGATTCTCTATGTTTTGCTGCCACAGAATCCAATGGGTATTTGAGTTTGTTTTCATGATATGAACAAATGTCATTTTTATTAATTCTAGCAATTTCATTAGTTCCAAAACATTTTACTTCAAATTTTGTAACATTTTTATAGGTTTCATTATCCACCCTTACAACTTGGGCTGGCCAATATGGATATCCACGTACTTTACCAAAAACAAGATCATCAATCTTAAAATCCATAATTACCAAATTTTATAACAGCATATAATAAATAATAAATTGATAGTCTTTATTATATATTTCACTGGGGTAAAATTAAAGGATAGCAAACAACATTAAAAATAGGTTTTGAAGTAAATAAAATCAAAAAGTTAAAAGTCTCTGAAGTAATCAGTATCTGAAGTATAGATATATTCAGGTTTCAGATATTCATGTTTGGAGTTATCTCTATCAGTTGCCAGTACAAAGTTCAGATCACTCACTCAGTTTTCCTTGCCGAGCTTATCTATGGTCCCATCTTATCTATGAACATTGAAATAATCCTGCAGTTTATCAGAAAAACTATAATTTATATAAACTGGTTACTTGAATGAGAAAACTGATTAAACACTTTCACAGATAAAAACTTACTGAATATTTAGGTATAAATTTCTTCATGTAAAAGTTTAATTTACTACTTAAAAACTTATAAAAATTGAAGAGCACAAATGACACAGCTTTTGCAGCTACAGGGTCTTCCCCCTCCTCTCTTAAAAATATAGAGTTGGCGGCCTCTTTTAACCTTGCATTTGCCCGTCCACATAGACTACAGATCTGTGCGTGGAACGTATCCAGCAAAGCAAGGGGTGAGCCGGTACAGTACAAAGGTGAACTGTACTGATAAAAGTTTGTGGCAGTGACCAGGATCCGAACCCACGACACTTCTGCCTTGGGCCCAAAGTCCGTGATGCTACCAACTGAGCCACCGACTCACCAAAAAAACCATTGAAAAGAGCGTGCCGCGTAGATTTGCAAAGTGGCCTTACATTTTTTTAAAAGTCCCTTGGGCTCTGCCCCAGTGGCTTTGAAAGTTCCCGTGTTATCCTTATGGAGAACATAATTGTTTACATTTTGATCAGCTGTATAATTTAATTGCTGTTATTTATTTTTCAATTCAATGAAACGCATTGAGTACTTTTATTTACTATTTGAGTTTGTGTAAACATAACCCCCAAGACGGATCGTGTTAGTATGGTTGTATCTTAAAGTTGTGTATTTATCGTTGTTTTGTGTCGCTATGACGGGTCGTGTTAGCATGATTGTAACTTATATTTGTGAATTTATCGTTGTTTTGTGTAGCTATAATTTGTTAATTTGTTGTTATTTTCTTTTAAATGTCTCCGACATGATGACAACAAAACATAGATAGGAGGCGTAATCGTGATAACGACCGCAACTACAGAACAGTGGCGCGTAATAGGCTTAACTCATCACAGTCAGCACCTGACCCTGGGCAATCTCAACTATTAGGTTAAAAATCCGCCCTAACACTACCCCAAAACGACTTTTCGTTCTCAATTGGCCCTCTATCAATGACCTGTGCCTGTACAGCGAGGCATTTTGAGAAGTAGAAAACCGGCAGGAATGCTTTAGGTTTATCAATAACGAATATAAAAATGGTCTGAGCTACACACCGGTAATCTTGAGTTGACTCTTTTAAATTAATTAATTGTAATAACTGTATGACTGTTATTCGTTTTAAAATAACTCCTGTAATACTTTGCAATTGCTCGAATTCGAGCAACATGTACACTGGTTATTCAATATCCTATGTTGGCAATAAGTAAATATCTATCATATGTTATTATTAATAATTAGTGTTAAATAAGTCATCAACAACATTACAAATTTTTTATCAATCAATTATATATTGTAAAAAAAATCTGTTCAAATGAAGCTACATTTTTCAATTATCAAAGTCAACAAAATACACGTGCATGCACAAGGCCACGACACCTACCCTATCTGGTGGGATTGTAGTTTTGTTTATAAACCCTCCACAAGCAAACTTGTAGAAGTCCTGGCAAGGGTCTACTGATGGGTCCATGTTGTATTGTATCTGTTTGGCTGTAACAGCGAACAAACATTCTAAAATATGGAAAGAGTGCAAAATTAGCCAATACTACAAAATTAAAACATACAAATTTATCCTTTGTATTTTCATTTTCTGATCTCGTTGCAATTTTTCAAATATTGCACAATGAATTTGTTTCTGGAATGGTTTTTCACCTTCAAATTGATTCAAGTATCTTGAAATGAAATAATTTCAATAACTCCAATCTAAACTGCTCAAGCAAAAACTTTCACTGTGTTTATTATATATCATGGGCTTATTTATATCCCACTATGCCTAAGGTATGTCTATGAGTTTTTTAGTAATTTATAATTTGTGCCTGAACTAAAATTACCTGCTTCTAAACATCCTGGAGTTCTGCAGACGGTGTGAAGATTGTTTGGACTCAACCCTGAAATAATTTACTTTTTCAGAAAGAAAATTTGATTGAAAAACAAATTATACTTGATCATACCTACTTTTTTTCTTTTCTTTAAAACATCCATAAAGTAACGAACAATATTTTACGGATTGTACAGTAAATATTTTGAAAGCAATAATTATACCAATGTAACCATAACGCGAGAATAAAAAAAATATATGTATAATGGTCTAAAACCAGTAAACCAAATAAAGTTTTACAGTCATAAGCACCAAACTGTGTAAAACTAAATGTTGAATATGTTACAGTCTATGGCAAAATATGTTTAAAGTTTATACAAAAGAGAGTAACATAAAATCAATTACCTAAACTAAGGCCAATGAATGAAAAAACACTGAGTACAAAGGTTGGTAGACTGAAACCCAAGAACATCTCACACTTTTAAAATCTGATAACTGATGTACTGTAATCAACACTGAGTTCTATCTGATAAGGCCTGGGCCAAAGAGATGGGCTACATTTTGTTTTGTACCACTCATCCACAGAACGGTGAATTTACTTTGATTAAATCTCCTTTCATTGTCCTACTTCTGGATATTGCTTTATATTAATTAAATTATTTTGTTACCTTACAATATCCTGTTTAGTGTTGGTAGACAAACTACATATTTCGTGGCGACTGCCACATCCTCAGGTTTATCCTCTTCTCAGATTCGTCATCAACTTAAAACATAAAACACAGAACACACGTAAAAAAACACATTACATTTATTTTGGTACCGTCACGGCGACTCTGAGCCGCCGGCCCGACCAAACACGTGCACACACCGTGACGGTACCAAAATAAATGTAATGTGTTTTTTACGTGTGATCTGTGTTTTATGTTTTAAATTGATGACGAATCTGAGAAGAGGATAAACCTGAGGATGTGGCAGTCGCCACAAAACATGTAGTTTGTCTACCAACACTAAACAGGATATTGTAAGGTAACAAAATAATTTAATTAAATCTCCTTTGTCTGGTGATGAAACAATTTCAACAGAATCATTCTTTTATTAATTTAAATAACAAATGTTTTATTATTTTTCCATGTCAAAATTGATTATATTAAAGTGTTTTGCTTTGTCTTCTTTTATCTAGTGTTTCAAGAATACCTAGGTAGGCCTAATAGTGAGGTTTAATTTTGTGTTTTTGCACATAAATGAGATGTAAAAATGTTCAACTACTTGCAGTATCCAAAGTCAATGGTATACATAAATGGAATGGCTATTTGGAGTACTGTACCTATCTAAAGTCAATGTTGCATTACCTCCCACACAGTTCTCAAAACGTCCCAAATTCCCATGGGAAATAGGAATATCCCTAGGATATGCCCGTTACAGTAATTAATTAAAATTTTTTTGAGGATTTTTGATCGATGGACAGTATCTTTGGAATATCCCTAGAATATCCACGATATCCCTTTTTTCACAATTTGTAAAATGCACTATGAATTCAAGTATTTCTCGAGATATGCAAAAGAATACTGCTTTAAAGGTAATGTTTATATTTTTTTTTTTTCAAACACTAATGTTTATTATATAATTTCTTAGTATGGTAAGTATATTTGTTCTTATGCTGTGAAGATCCATGGAAGATCCCTGGGAAATACCCTGGACCATCCTAGGATTTTGCACGTAGCCCACACAAAAAAAATGCATTTTGAGGATATCCTATGGGGACTTGCTATGGATATTCTCGGTAGGCTACCTACATTAAAACATATTTTATAGTATTGGATGTATTATATTTAAGTGACAAGTGCTTGAGAAACATAATTAAAAAGGATTCAATATTATTTTGAATTAAAAATAACATTAACAATGATTTATAAATAAATAATCATATTTTCCGATCATATACTTTAATACTTTTCAATGAAATAGTGACCATACAAAGTAGTTGTTTTAAGCCAAGTATGAATGGAGATGAGTGTAGGAATATCCATAGGACATCCTTTGGAGATCTGTGAGGATTCCCCGTGGGGCAGAATAATCTAAATCAAAATGTTCACCTTTTTATAATAATAATACACCTATAAAAATAATAATAATGCAAATATTTCCTTTTTAATTTAAATTCTAAATAACTTATTTGAGAAAATTTATTAGCTAAACAATTTAAGGGGAAATATTAATTAATTAATCATACAACAATTATAATCTATATTTAAATACCAGTATCCTTCGTCCCAACTCCCAGAAAAACGATTTAACAACTTGATGCCTAAACAGAATCATAGTATCTAATATTTAATATCAAATATTTAACTATTGCGACCATTGCAGCTGTCTGCTTCCTTTTACTTGAAAACTATAGTAATCTCAACAATTACCGATAACTCAGAGGTAAGATAAGAGATTCATAAGTCAAAGGTTCCCAGTTCGAGACCCGTCTGGGGAAAAAAATAGTTTCTATTTTTTTCAAAATTTGTTTTTATGAACTACTAGCTGTAACCCGCGGGCTTTGCCCCGTTTAACTTCTTAAATTTTCAAGATTATCTCGTTCGCATGGCTCAATCACGTCCTGGTTGAAGTTTGTTTGCTACGCTCACTCACCTTTAGGTTGGAGCTCGTTCGCTACGCTCACTCACCTTTAGGTTGGAGCTCGTTCGCTGCGCTCACTTGCCTTCAGGTTAGCTCGTTCGCTACGCTAACTCGCCTCCAGGTTGAAGTTCGTTCGCTGCGCTCACTCACCTTTTGGTTGCAAATTAGCTGTTGTCATAAATGTAAAAGAAATAATGAACTATTTAATTAAAATACTCAACTGATATAAGTGCTTTTCAGACTAAATCTTTATTTTTTGTGTTTTATGTATAATATCCTGGTGGGATATCCCAGGGATCAGGATTTGGGCAAACATAGGGATATCCCAGGGAGTTCCCCAGGAAACTTTGAGGACTTTGCGGGATCTTGTGTTGTGTGGGCTTAGGCCTAATTCCAGTGATACTAATTTTAGTTATTCATTTTGTAGTAAAATTATGCTCGACGATATTAAACCAATTGTTCTTCTCAAAGCTTCAAAAGAATAAAGAATTTTAGTCATGAAAATATCAAACTTAGTATCCAAGTCTAAGGCAACACAAACGCCATTCCAGTTTTCTTTCGATATAAACCTTTAAATAATTGTATAATATTTTATTGAAATGTCCTTGAACAAAAAAACTGGTCTTTAAAAGATGTGCATGTTGAAGCCTTCCAGAATTGGTAATAAATTATAACAGGTTACGTACGTTTTGACGTCTACAATTCCTCAGTCGAACTTCCATTGACTTAGTTTCGACTACTAAGTAGTCATTTTCTAAACGGAACGTTAGAATATTTCATTCATTGAATGACATTAAATCTTGTGTTTGTGTTCAATGTATTTAAGAAAAACATGAGAATTAAATTTTAAATGTCACTGGGGGAAGAGCCCCAAAGGAATTTACCTCCTTTCTCTTTTGATGGCTCATCTACAGACCAAAAGATATTTGTATTTATCATCCAATCAGCGTGTTGAGCTTGACAATACAAAGTTTGGGAGTTTTTCAAAAACCAACATAATCCAACTTGTGAAATATGTTTGTGTACTCTACACATGGAGTTGCAGTAGAATTTCACTGAATAGCCACCAGGTTGCAGCACGAAACACGATGATTTTAACCAGTGGCAGTGGTTTCTATGACCATTCGTTTTGGCGGGAGATTTAAATAACCAAAACAAAACAGGTTGTCACAATTTCACCACACCTGGCACAAAGTCACCCCGATCTACGGTATATAGATTGGTGAACAAACTTCACAGTTTCAACAAAAATGATAATACATTTGTAATTACATGTTTTTAAAGTAAACAAAGCGGGCGTTTTCAATCCCAATGCATTTTAAATGGAACACTATTACCGTAGGTGCCATGGTAAGACGGGTAAGACCACTGAGCTATAATTCTTTCTAACTGGAGGTAGCACTGAATGTCAAAGGTGCGTGTCGCCAGCCGCCATGTTTGCGTGAGGTGTGAGTTATAAGAAGCCATGTTATTGGATAAGAAAACTCATTGCTATACCAACCTAGTTATCGAAGCTATGTTATTGCTATGATAAGAAAACTCACTGCTATACCAACCTAACAAAATCAGCGACACGCTTTTGATAGACTTCTGCCATGGCACTGGCAGTGCTAACTCCAGTTATAATTTTAGTGGGTAAGACCTTGGCCCGGGACCGATTTACTTTTTTTTCATTTTGATGAACTTTGAATTATTGAGTCTGGTGTCACCTGTCTGCCATGTTATCTTATGGGACGTCTGCCGCTAAACAACACTACTTGCGTGTTACTTGTACTTGTACTGCGACGAAGTGGCTGGTTAGTGGTTAGTGACGTCAAAACGGTACAGTACCTGAAAAATCTCCCGTGTTCCGCTCCTGGGCAAGGTAGGATCAGGAGCAGCAGCAGACAGCAGACGGGAGACGGCCAGCGAGCAGACTAGCAGACTGCTTGCTTAGTGCCAACCGATGCTACCTAGACTCCTAGACATAGACATCAGACATCATTCAGTTCAAGAATTCTACAATTCTATTCTAAATTCTACATAACCTAAATACTAGTAGTACGCTTATTCTGCGCGTAACGGGATGAGTGAACATGAGCGCAGTAATGAAAGAGTCCACCCACACCTAGCCTACTTACCGGTGGTCACTCTGGTTAACACAATGTTATTTGTATGGGCAAATCAACCAAATCTTAGTCACCAACAATCCTAACTTCTCATCCATTAATAAACCAAAGTCATTGGTGATATACGTAATCGATTTCCAACAGTTATCGATAGGAGGTAAATCCATCGTTCCTGTACAACATGTCTTTTGATTAAATAAAGCATATTTCCATATTTGTTATGAGCCCTATCATAAACAAAACAAAGCCAAACTGAACTAATCTAACTTATCCTAATTGCCAAATCACGATGTAAGGAATCTCCTAAAAAATATCGTATGGCTTACAATGATGATTTAAAACGATATCGTAATTATATCTTCTAAAATGATTAAAAATCCAATATATGTTTATCTAACTAATGAAGGGTTCTTACACTCCAGACTGCTCACCTCAACTACTTCCACCACCACTTCCTACGTCGTAAACATCTTTCCCTCCCTTCCTATGGCATTTTAGTATTGCAGGTACATTAACCTAACTGTCACAAAGGGTAACTGTCACTGCGGACTGCTCGCCTCAACTACTTCCATCACCACTTCCTACGTCGTAAACATGTTTTCCTCCCTTCCTATGGCATTTTAGTATTGCAGGTACATTAACCTAACTGTCACAAAGGGTCCCGACACTCCGGACTGTTTGCCTCAACTATTTCCATCACCACTTCCTACGTCGTAAACATGTTTCCCTCCCTTCCTATGGCATTTTAGTATTGCAGGTACATTAACCTAACTGTCACAAAGGGTCCCCACACACCGGACTGCTCACCTCAACTACTTCCATCACCACTTCCTACGTCGTAAACAAGTTTCCCTCCTTTCCTATGGCATTATAGTATTGCAGGTACATTAACCTAACTGTCACAAAGGGTCCCCACACTCCGGACTGCTCGCCTAGACTACTTCCATCACCACTTCCTACGTCATGGACCTGTTTCCCTCCCTTCCTTTAGAATTTTTGTTATTGCAGATCCATTAATCTAACTGTCACAACGGGTTCCCACACTCCGGACTGCTCGCCTCAACTACTTCCATCACCACTTCCTACGTCGTAAACATGTTTTCCTCCCTTCCTATGGCATTTTAGTATTGCAGGTACATTAACCTAACTGCCACAAAGGGTCCCGACACTCCGGACTGTTTGCCTCAACTACTTCCATCACCACTTCCTACGTCGTAAACATGTTTCCCTCCCTTCCTATGGCATTTTAGTATTGCAGGTACATTAACCTAACTGTCACAAAGGGTCCCTATACTGCGGACTGCTCACCTTGACTACTTCCTTCACCACTTCCTACGTCGTGGACCTGTTTCCCTCCCTTCCCCTAGCATGTTTTTATTACAGATCCATTAATCTAACTGTCACAACGGGTTCCCACACTCCGGACTGCTTGCCTTGACTACTTCCTTCACCACTTCCTACGTCGTGGACCTGTTTCCCTCCCTTCCTTTAGCATTTTTTTTATTGCAGATCCATTAATCTAACTGCCAAAACGGGTTCCCACACTCCGGACTGCTCACCTTGACTACTTCCTTCACCACTTCCTACGTCGTGGACCTGTTTCCCTCCCTTCATTTAGAATTTGTTATTACAGATACATTAATCTAACTGTCACAACGGAATCCCACACTCCGGACTGCTCGCCTTGACTACTTCCTTCACCACTTCCTACTTCGTGGACCTGTTTCCCTCCCTTCCTTTAGCATTTTATTATTGCAGATACATTAATCTAACTGTCACAAAGGGTTCCCACACTCTGGACTGCTCGCCTTGACTACTTCCTTCACCAGTTCCTACGTCGTAGACCTGTTTCCCTCCCTTCCTTTAGCATTTTATTATTGCAGATCCATTAAGCTAACTGTCACAAAGGGTTCCCTCACTCCGGACTGCTCGCCTTGACTACTTCCTTCACCACTTCCTACGTCGTGGACCTGTTTCCCTCCCTTCCTTTAGCATTTTATTATTGCAGATCCATTAATCTAAATGTCACAAAGGGTTCCCACACTCCGGACTGCTCGCCTTGACTACTTCCTTCACCACTTCCTACGTCGTGGACCTGTTTCTCTCCCTTCCCATAGCATTTTTAGAATTGCAGATACATTATTCTAACTGTCACAAAGGGTTCCCACGCTCCGGAATGGTCGCCTCGACTACTTCCTTCACCACTTCCTACGTCTTGGACCTGTTTCTCTCCCTTCCCAAAGGTTTTTAGAATGTAGATATTTATTAATATAACTGTCACAAAAGCTTTCCACACTCCGAAGCGTTCGCCTTGACTACTTCCTTTACTACTACTTCCTACATCGTAGACCTGTTTCTCTCTCTTTCCATAGCATTTAAGTATTACAGATATATTAATTTAACAGTCACAAAGTATTTCCACACTCCGCAGTGCTCACCTTTCCGCTTCCTTTACCACTCTCTAACCTGGACCTGTCCCCCCCCCCTCGCATAGCATTTTAGTATTACTAACATCTTTGAATATTTAATATTCAATGCCAACATTAAATTGAATAATGTAAAAATCTGCTTCGTTCTAAATATATACATATATATTTTTAGTTTAAAGGTGAATTTTAATACTGAACATAAACGGTATATAACTGCCGATTAATATTGTAAAGTTCAATTTATTATTCAGAAAGTTGTGAAATTTAATAAACTTGAACAACATTATTCTGAAACCTGTGAAATTATAATGATATATATTTATAGACGCCAAACTGTTTACTCCATGAATGAAAGAGCTTAGAGTAAATGTCGTTCTCTCTGTCTTAAGTAGACAACAAAATTGTTGGTCGCAAAACGTAAACAAATAAAAAGAAGAAGAAGGTAGCTCCTAATGTTATTCTTATGGGACAAATTTAAAAATGTTTTTTAAGGGTTTTATAATTACTACTGAGCAGAATCGTCTAGAATTTTAATGAGGTCTTCCCACTGGTGTCATAATTATTTGTGCAAAATTTGAACGCTATAAGTGCGACGGTTCTTGAGTTTTTGGTGCGAACACACAGACACACTCACAGACAAGCGGACAACTTTTCTCCGACTCCGCTATACACGATACATAGATTCGTTCACTCACTTCGTTCACTCATCTACTATCATCATTTTATCTATGCTTTCATCTTGTTTGTGGTTTTAAAGTAAAGTAAATCAAAGAATAGCCTATTAAGATTAATCTATGAGTAAGTATTTATACAGGTATTAATATTTACATCAGTATTCAGTGCATTAAGTTAGTAAGTTTAAGTTATTGTCAATCCACTAAGTTATCTAGGCTATTTTATTTTATTACCAGATGAATGATGAATACCCTAGTTCTGGGGCAGTAATCTTATTATTGATAAGAAAATCAAGTAATCAAGTAGGCCTCATCTTATTATTGATAAGATTAGGCCTAAAAATACTTGGAAAATGTTCTGTTTGTTTTGAAAATTGTGACATTTTGTAAGAGAATACAAAACTTAATGCTTTTAAAAAACGCAGAGGATGGATTAGGTGTCCGTCATAACCTAACCTAACCAACCAAACTTGCTGATAGGCTAATGAAAAATAACGAATGAAGGTTGAATTCTGTTCATACAAAAAAATTATTAAGTGCCAAAAATTCCAACAAAAGATGTACATTTAAGAAGAAATTACATTAGAAGCAAAATCTTGGACAAAAAATTAAAGTTACCGACGAGATTTGAACCCGAAACCTCTTGCATATCAGCCGAGTACTCTATCCACTGCACCACGAACACCGATGGCTATTCATCGTATCGTTGTGTTGTGGTAATGACGTTCCGGGCCCCCACAACCCGGTGTCAGTGCCCGACGCCTAATCCACGTCCGGTTACTAGACGCGTATATTCTGTGTTTAAAGAACGCAGAGGATACGCGTTCGGTAAGTAACCAGGCGTGGATTAGGCGTCCGGCAGTTACTGTCATAACCTAACCAACCAAACTCGCTGATAATGAAAAAATCGAATGAAGGTTAAATTCTGTTCATAAAATAGCCTAACATTAGGCTATTAATGCCAAAAATTCCAACAAAAGACGTATACAGTTAAGAAAAAATGGCAATCAAAGCAAAATCTTTGACAAAAAGTTAAAGTTACCGGTGGGATTCTAATCAAGGACCTCTTGCATATCAGCCGAGAACTCTATCCACTACATCATGAACACTGATAGCTGTAGGCCTACATTGTATCGTTGTGGTAATGGGGTTCCGGGCCCCCACAACCCGGTGACTTCACTGCCGGACGCCTAAAGTATCCTTTGTGTTTAAAGAAATGCAGTCGAAACTAAGTTACTGAAATGCTGTCCAAACTACTTTTTAAATGCTATCTTTTCATTTGGCCAGCCAATGCAATTATAATGTAGGCCATACGGTATATTTAAGTGTACGTTTCACAGTCTACTCTTTCAATATAGTAACTTAGAACTAGAGATGGGTAGTTCGATTTGATCAGTCGGTCTCAGTCACGGTCCTGACCCGGTAAGTTAAGCAAAAGCCAGTCATTTCATTGTGTTCGCTGGTAAGTTAAACCTACCAGGTTAGTTTGGATTACGGATCTTTGGATCGTTCTGATAGATACAGATAAGTTATTGAGCTATTAAACTTAAACAAATATGAAAATTATAAAAATAGGCTAAATTTCAAACAACCAAAAATAGCCTACACAATGTTTAAGTTAGTGTACTTAACTTAGGCCTAAAAAAAAGTTACTTTATTCATTTTTTGGCACCAAACATGTGTAGCCTACAGCTCTAATTATCCTTACTTTCAATTATAATTACTCTTGTACCTAACCAAGCTTTTACAGAGCTTGGAATAAGACTCTACTCAATTTTAGTGATATTTACAAGTGGGCTGTTGTAATTTACTTGATTTGTTTCCAATAACCACCTCCTGATTATAATGGAATAGCCTAAGTTAGATAAGTTAGTAAAACTTAAAATCAAAGAGACTACGAATGGCTTTAATTTGTAACTTAGGCTATGCCCAGTTCCATTGGCTTTAGTTTTGTTGGGGATGTGGACTGAGGTTTAAATGTACTCACGACACGTATAACTTACCCAACTATCGTGCAGCTGGTTCTTCTCTCCACAGTTCCAGTCACCAAATCAGTCAGCCTGTCACTAGTCTTTTCAGTCTCTTCGGTTGGTCTTAGAACAGAAAAAAGTGAACAAAACGGAGTACGGAAATGGGTCTTTTCGGTCGGTATGATCTGGGTCCCTCATTTACTTTGGAGGCTCGTCAAATTCAATGGGTCCTGATCGAACAGACCCACCTCTTAGGACCTATTCTTTTATTAGACCTACCTGATTGTCTTTCTCATTCATTACCTATGTTCTTACCAGGCTTAAGTTACTTAGCAATTGTCCAAAACCACTTGGATGTAATTCCTTATTAAACTCTGTTATTTGTGAAAGACTGTGTTGAGAAAGACTGTGTTATAAACAGATTTGTTTACAGTGGATGTACACAAGTGTGGAGATTGTCAAGAAGAGTTTAATTCATATGAGACCTTCCTAATCCACAAATTACTCATTGAACAATATAAACTGACCCTTGAAAGTTCCCTCAGGATTCCTAGTCTTCGATTACCCAAGTAAGTATTCATCCATTAGCCTAATTATTTTAAGGGACTAAGTTAATAGCCATGCCCACACTTGTGCTATTCTATTTTACGTACTCTTGACACATGCTGCAAAGAGAAGCCTTCTTGTTTTCTGAGAAACGCAAAGTTTCTGAATCACATGCTGCAAAGCAAGCAGGTCCAAAACTTTGCTTATTCTTGCGTTGTACCGTGCTACTTAAGCATGGGTCACACTAGGTTGGCATCAGCGGCGAATTGAAAGAAGCCGCTACTGTCAGCTTAATGTGACCACAAAATTCGCAGTTTTGTCAGCGGCTGGCAAAGTTGGACATGTTCAACTTTTGGTAGCGAGGCAGCGGCGACTAGAGGTCACGTGACCACTCACACTTGCTTACACCAGCGAGCAGCGTAGTCTGACCACCTCTAGAAGCGTGCCAGTGGCGACCAAAGATAATTTCCAACTTGGTTTAACACAAAAGGACAAAAGCAACTGTCTCAATTTTTTAATTAGAGGTTTAACTAATTCTAGTAATTCCTGGGATGTACATGGTGACATTCGTAAACCATTTTTGTATATTTCTGATTCATCTTGTATTTTAATTTTGGCAACCGGCTGGTCCACTAAACACCTCTTCTTGCGGTTAAGCATATTTTAATAAAATTATTTCTCTTTCACAAAAATCCTCAAAATTATATAATTGCTGGTTTATGGCAACAAGAACTGAGTTTTAAACTAGGCTAAAAGTAGTAATTTGTAGTGTAGAAATTACTGAGCTTAGGTTGTCAGGGAAGCAGGTAATTGATTTCTTTAATTTATTCCAAAACTATGCGTGCTTGTGGGACGTTTCTTTAATGAAGTAGGAACGTCAAATAAGCAGCACAGCGAGTTGTTGCAAAACCTCACAGCTGTTCCTTCTCAACATCGTCAATATCACGATTACCAGCAGCTGGCGAGCAGCCTAGTGTGACCCGTGCTTTAGGGGCAGTTAACGAGCTCAGGACTTCATAGTCCCCAAACAGACATTGGTCCCGGACTAAGTTATATAAGCAACGACCAAAAATTGGGTTCACGAGACAGAATGTAATGATGTGAAAGCCGGGCTTATTTTTGGTCGAGACCAAATCTAAGCGGAGCCTAATGGCAGGGATTCACAGGGAATTTTTGTTGAAAGACGTTAGTAGCAACAGCCTGGAAACACATGTGAAGCCACTGCTCCTGACTTACGCACTTCCAAACAGTTTAGGATAATCGTTAAAAAAGGCTGAACCAAAACAATTATTTTATTAATTGCGTTTGCGTATATATATTCTTGCACAGCTCGCCTATAATATGGCTTTTAAAGTCTCGAGCTTGTGAACCTGATTTTTCAAGTCACAGCACAAATACCGGTTATTTTCGGATTTTGGGCTCGGACTACGAAAAACCCGAGGTCGTGAACTGCCTCCTAGAGTTGTTTTAACTATTTTATTGTATTGTGCAGTGATGGCGTCAGACAATAAGGAAACTGTTGATTTTATTGATAATAGGAGTTACAGTCTTCTGTGGGATATAACTGACAAGTTATATAGAAATAAGAATAATCGTAACAACGCATGATTGGTTGAAAAACCTAGTATTTCAGTAAAAAGTGTGAAATCTAAAATTAAAAAAAAAAACCTAAAATCCTACTTTTCTAAAGAACGACTAAACATTTTGGCCTAAAAAGTGGACCGGGTGCTGATGAAAATACGTGGCATTTTTTCAAATAATACAAAATAGGAATATGAAGAATCCTTTACTATTGTCATTAGACACAGTTGTGCAATAGACATTGTCAAAGCTATAAACAGTGTTAATATGTAGGCCCTAACATAGATGTAAAACTTAGCCTATATCACAGTTGTCAACTGAAAATAAATATCATAAAAAAAAATAGTTCAATAACAATGCATGTTACTTAAAATCTATAAAATCAGTAGCACTCAAATGTAAAAATTCGTGAACAGAATAAAGTGTGTGCTTTAGAACACCATTTGTTACAACAGTTTTAAAATTATCAAAAGATTCAATGTTCCTGATATGTTGAGGAAGTATATTGTATGGTTTAATGTTCAATGAAACAGTAAATTCTTGCCAAAAATGTAAGAGAAGTAGGTCTAGCCAGTCAAATAAAATAATTAGCTTACCTAGTCTTTATTTAGTAACTGGCAGTTATGTTTACAAACCTCATTTAATACTCTAGCTCATATTAATTATAAGACTATCGAAACTGAAATGACCCAATCTTAATTGTATTTTGCCTTTACTTTCAGATTCATAAAAATAAACCAAGTTCCCAAACCCAGTGTTGCAATAAAAGAAACACCAGCAAAAACCTCCTTTTCTACGGACAAAGAAAATGGACAGTCCGAAATGTGTAAAAAACCCAAAACATTTGATGCTCCTGAGCTTTTAAATGTGATGGATGCAGCTTGTGATCCCATCATCGAGATCATTGTGGATGCAACAAACTCTGGCGATGACGCAGCAAATGAAACTGTTAATGATGATGCTGCAACTAATGTTGTCAGGGATGATGTTGTAAACAATGATGTTGTCAGTGATGATATTGCAGTGAACAATGATGTTGTTAGTGGTGATATTCCAGTGCAAGATGGCATTGTCGGTGATGATATTGTAAACAGTGACATTGTCAGCGATGATATTCTGCACAACAATGATGATGCGAGTGATGACAGCAACTCTGTCGGGAGCCAACCTGAGTCACTGCGGATAGACGAGGGTGTAGTGAAGGAGATGTCTCCAGTGAGTTGCTACTGTTGATAATTTGAATTAATTGTTTGTGATTTTCATGATAGCCTATCCTAATTGGGTTTTGAAGGAGGTTGAAAAATATGACAAAATTGGGATTTACCAGTTAAAATAATCATTTTGACTGATTGTTAGCAAATTAGTTTCATGTTGCTAGAAAGAAGGCAGTTTTAGTTGTTGCATGAACTCAGACTAAAGTATAGTTCGGTGTTTCATTTGAAATCTTGTAGCCTTCATTGTATAGTTATTGGGCGACTAGGTGTGTTTCTTAAAAACTTGGGGTTTCCTTATGACATGTCACCCACCACAAGTCTATGCCATTTAGTATGGTTTTTATTTTTTCAATACTTGTTCTTATATAAACTTTGATGTTTTTTTCCAGGTAGATACTAACTCTGAATTTGAAAATGACAATACAAAAGAATTTTACTGCAAAGAGTGCAAGCGTTATTATAAAAACGTAAGTCAGCAATATTATTAATCTAATGTTATTACTTAACCTAAACAAAGAACCCATTTGTTATAATGTCTTTTATGTTATAGGTCTAGTCTTCTTAATACCTCTTAATATTATAGAAATATTTACTAAGAAATCTTTCTAGTTCAGTAAAAGACACAAATATAATCATGTTAAAGGAAATAAGCTCTAGGCCAGGAATTCCCCTGGGGGATGAAATATTGTGTGTTCAATTTATCTTGTGTATTTTCTGTGGCCTACCTGCAGCTATCCTTCTTATTCTACAATTCAATGTAATCTAGTGTTAAATTAATAAATTCAACAGGTTTTACAATTGGATTATGAATTATGAATATGAAACCAGGCAAAATTAGAACCTCACCGCCCTTTTTATGTATATTACTTTCCACTTAACATACTACTGTAAATGGACTCATCAAGATGAAAAGTGTCTGCAATAATGTTGTAAACAATTTAACTTTGGTTTGGCAGAGAGTGATATTGAGAGTGCATGAGGAGACAGTTCACAGTACAAGCAGGCCTCACGTTTGTCAATGGTGTCGTCTGGGCTTCAAGACTAAGGGATCTCTAGTCAGACACTGCCGCACTCACACTGGTAAGCGTGCATTGAATTTCTTTTGTAACAAACCGATGTAGGAACGTCAAATTTTTGTGGTGTAATAAGGCGTCCATGAAATGTGGATCATCAGCGGTTAGTAACATTAGTGCTCAGGTATAAACTATTTATTCACTTATTTTATCTCTTTCAATCTTAGGCTGCGGCTCCATTGGCTGTAGATTGTTGTGCTGCATATTGTAGTGCAGTACACTCTACAGTTGGTTGCTCCACTAGCAGCAGAGTACGAAACTCAATATGCAGCGTCCTCGCTTTGCAACCAAGTTCAGGCCTCATTGCTTACAAAATAATCTACAAAACTCAACTTAGGACACTAGAAACGTCTATACTTAATCATACTAATATTATAAATGTGAAAGTTTGTGTGTTTGTTTGTTTATTTGTTTGTATGTTTGTTTGTTTGAAGTTCAATCACGCAATAACCACTGGACGGATTGGGCTGAAATTTGCCATGATGATAGCTCACATTCCCGATTAACATATAGGCATATTCTTATATCAAAAATCCTTTCGTGCTCCGCCCCAGTGGCTCTGTTGTTCCCCATGTTAACCTTATGAGTATTCATATTTAAAAGGAATTAAAGAATTTAGTCAGCTGTTTCAACTATTTATATTGGTTCTATGATATGCAATCACATTAAAAAGTTATAAGGTTTACCAACAGGGTGCAGCACTAATATTTTTTTTGCATTTATGAAAACAGCTATTTTGAACTAAGCAGCAACAAAAAGCTGTGATACTCAATATTAACTGTCAAAGTAGGATTACAGTTATGTCTTTTTTTAGAATAATTTGTGATTTTGTGAAAATATTATTTGATAGTAAATTTTTTTTCTATGATTTAGATGCAGTGATAGAGCATTATGGCTATGGTAGATGTGTTATAGTATAGCATACCGTAAATTTAAAGAAACAAATTTTACCAAATTATGTCTTTCCCCATTACAAAAGCAAAGCTTAACTGCAATAAGCACTGTATATTTAATTGCCAAACCCGTAAAAAGGACTGGTACCCTGCTAGTATAGCATAAATGTGTCTTGTGCCTGTATGCTGGTCGGCTGTTGACTGTCTTGACGCGGCACTACAAACAATCTACAGCAAGTGGAGCCACCTGCTAGCTGCGAAATGTAGCACGATAATAGGCCGGTTCCATTACCATGTGACGCTACATTCTGCGGTGCGCAACAGACTGTCGCTAGTGGAGCCACCTTCGTTTGATCGCTGCCTTCCCATTTCTTCAACTTCTGCTTCTTTCTTCAACCAGCTGCAGTTTGTTGCGTGACAATTTACGGCCAGTGGAGCCGCAACCTTACAGCTTAAGTTATGACAGTGGTGTGGGATAACTTGCGCCTCTACAGGCCTTGCATCAAAGACAGCTCAGGCTTCAGACTAAATATTTTAATTTATTGAATAGATAGTCTTGTATAGTGATGAAAAAATTGAAACCCAATAATCAATGGTTTACGGAGGGTTTAAACTTTTGTTCTTTGTGGACTGCAAGTTTGTTTTGACGTACATTTGTTTGTTCTCAGGGGAACGACCGTTCTCCTGTGGGCAATGTTTGAAAGCCTTCCTCGACTCGGGCAGTCTGGCAAGACATGTTCACAGGGTTCATCGCAAGCGACCTTTCAAACAGGTACATTGATTTGACAAAATAACAAAGCTGATATCAATCCACTAACGTTAAACAAAAGATTTTGTCTTTGTTCTTAATCAATAGCAAATTGGATGTAGATTAACTGTTTTAACTTGTTTAGGACCTCAAATTTAATTTCAACCGCTCTACCTCACCTATGCACATACATCATGCTTCGCCTTTGATCAGATTCTGCAGGATGTCATCAGTTTTCATTTTTTCATACATTTCTTTTTACTTACTAAGCTATGATTTTTTTTTATTTATTATACCTTGGTGAGTTGATCATTTATCTTTGTAAACACTAACTAGCTTTTGTCTCTTTGTATGATGCTATCCAAGAAAAGGTCCCCATTTAAATGTGGGTTTGAATTCTACTACCTGCCACTTCTTTTTATCAGAACACACCACCCTTGTATCAGCTCACCCCTTGCTTTGCTGGATGATTATTTCTTCCAAGAGTTCATTATTGTGACTCTTTGTACTAATGAGTGTTGATGTTTCAATATTGTGGTTCTCAGCCGAGTGATGTGAAAGTAGTCATTGCAAGACTTGAGGTGGAGACCGAGAAAACTAAGACTCAAGAAACATTGGGAAGCTGAACACTCTCCTCACCATGAATGAATGAGTAAGTTATCATCCGTACATCAAGTAACAGACTGATAATGTATTATGTTATGTATTGTCAAATTAATCACTGTAGTCCATTGGGAAGCACCATAGAGATCTCTAGGGCTTTGATGTTCTAGAGCTAAAAGCAAAGAGTTATGATTGATCAACTGAAAAAGCAGGAATTTATCATATACTCAGGTCAAGGTAACACCATTGCTTGGGTTATAAAAAGTGGCTTCTTAAAATTTTCAACTTAACAATCCAGCAAAATTTCAGAAATTTTCAAAATGTAAAGAATTATTGATGTGCTTTTAAAGTATGAATAGGAACCAAATTGTCATGAAAGTTTCCTTCTATAGCATTGGTCTAATAAGCATTGGTTTTTAAGTTGTTGGATTCATTAATATTAATATACTACATATTCCTTCCCGTTTTCCAATGCCAGCATAACCAATGAAAAACCTGTTTTAGACCTGGGCGCAATTTTTTTGTTCTCACTTATGATGTTAGAGGAGGATTAGAAAGACAATGATAACCTCTGCTACTTTTATTGACGTATGCGGCAAACAAAGATAGCTTAGAACGTATATAGTTTATTAGTAGGGTAATCGGGCCACACTGATTATGCCAATGAGGTACCACCTTCGACTTTGAGACTATTGTACTTGTAAGTCGGGGATCCTCTGTTGACTTTGCATGTGGGGCAGGGTGTAGGCAAATGTCTTGCAACTTGGTAGTAACCTGGCTACAGCATGTGATGTAGCACTGTCGACTTTGAGACTGATTTATTAAAAAAAGTTTACTTCAGCTAAGTACCAATGTAGACATGGTACCCTTGGTATATGTATATATATATAAAGAATAGTGTATTCTTTGTTTCCACTCGTTTAAATCCTAGAACGGGGTAGGGCTTTGACACCTCCAAGTCTGTCATTTTCAGCCTAGGGAGGAACTCTATAGTCGACTTTGAATTGAATCAATCTTTAAGTGAAGCCAATTTTCTGAAAAAAATAAATTAAATATTAATCTTACTTGTAAAATCATTTAGACAAATGCATCAAGGTGGACAGGGTGTGTACGGAACATTGCATGTTACCTTGCTGGAAGCAGGAAATGGTAAATGTATTTACCAAAGTATTCAAATGCAGGTTGTAATCATGGCACTGCAAGTAACCATCACTCTGCTTCCCCGCTCTTTCCAGGATATTCCGGACCTGATCAGCCGACTTCAAGAAAAATTCCCGAACACGACACTCGCAGGTATTTCCAACAATATGTACCTATTAGCAATAATTATTATACTATTAAAATTGTATTTACAAACCAGATAAACACTGCTGAAGTTACAGCATGTTTGTAATTATGAATTAAATGGAATAAGAAAACTATTGATTCAACTATTAATTTAACTATCAATTAATTCAGGCTTGTATGTTTTAAGATCAATGGCTTATCTCTGTGATAAAACTGTGTTAAAATTGACATACCATTCGCTTATAGAATGTCATATTGGCCACGGAATCAAAATTTAGGGCGGGATTGTACAAAAAAATTTGAAAAAGGTTTTAAAACTACAAAAACAGGCCATCAGAGTTATTGAAAAATTTAAGGATAAGAAGTCGGTGAAAAAGTACTTTAAAGAAATTAAAATTTGTACAGTGTATGGTTTGTACATTTTTAAAACTATTCAGCATGGTTATAAAGATAATAAAAATAATGCAGTATCCCATAGCTACAATACAAGGTAGAAAAATATTACTGTAAAAAGTCATCATCGGCTAAAACTTTAAAAAATCAAGCCTTCGTATATCAGCTATTTATTTATAAGAAGTTTACCTGCCTTACTAAATAAAGATCAAAACAAACCCAATTTAAAAAAAAAATTAAATCATTCTTAATTAATCTTGCTCCTTATGGCATAGATGAGTTTCTAAATAAATAAACGGTATCAGCAATCTGGGACATACTTTCTCCCATTAGCTTGTCAACAACCATTTTCATGGGTAAGCGATGAGAGTAACTATGGTAGGGGACGGGTGGCGTCGTCCTGTAATCCAGCTACTAGGAGGTCACGAATTGTGGATAATTATAGGGATGCACTGTGGATGCGATGCTACCTGGTGTGGATTAACGTCCGCACTAGTGAGTACTACGACTATCCGCAGTACTATCCTAAATAATTAGACCAATTCGTTAATTACGAGGAAAAAATGTGGTTCGGATTCCACAATAAACTGTAGGTCCCTTAGTTGCCATTAGCTGTATGGGCTATTAATTAACAGCTGTGTCTAAGGAACATGTCGGCCTTAGTCACTAACAAGACTACAAGATCGCGCCACTCATCCTACACTCATCCTTCACTCATATTTGGGTTAAAATACGCACATAGTGGCGTCCCCATCTTAAATAATTGATAATTGATAATTGATTAATAGGTAAAATCTCAAAAGTTTCATTAACTTTTGAACAGTAATTTTAACAGGAATGAAGGGATGTGTTATTTTGTTTAGAATTATAAGGACCATAACAGAAGAATTTCAATCAGAATCAGTTTTTCTTCAAAAAATCCATTTTCCGTTTTTAAATGGGTTTTTATGGGGAAATAACATAAGTTACAATAACTTTTGAACCATAATTTTTACAGAAATGGGGGGTTGCACTATGTTGTTTGGAATTACAAGTATTACCACATACTAATTTCAATCTAAACTGGTTTCTTTCAAAAATACGATTTTCTCTTATTTTATGGGGTTTTTTATGGGAAAATAACATAATTTGCAATAACTTTTGAACCATAATTTTTACAGAAATGGGAGTTCCACCATTTTGTTCAGAATTTAAAGGGCCACAACATACTAAATTTTCATTAAAATCGTTTGGGTTATTTTTGAGAAAATCCTATTTTTCCTGTTATTTTATAGGTTTTTATGGGAAAATTGACATTAAAAATCAAAATTTCAAAAAAATGAAAAAAACGCCTGGAGATACTATGGAGTAGTACCTACATACCAAATTTCATCAAAATCGGACTACAGGTGTGGTCTGTAGCTCTGTACACATACAGACACACACATAGACATCACTTCAAAAACCACTTTTTTGGGTCTAGGGTGACCCAAAACGGATATATCCACTCAAAACTCAAACTCTAAAATTTTGATGAAAACAATACTTTCTCCATATAGGCTGTACGCTACCCAGTACCCCTGTATAGGCCAATCACCGAATAGTAGGTAGGCAGGATTTAATTTAGAATTATTATTCTTCAGCACCAAGCTAACAGCTAAGATGATGTTTGCTGTGATAACCTATCATTTGGTGATTTCCCTCAGATGGTACGATCATAGATAAAACATACTCCCTTAGTAGATTTCTCATCCTTATGGAACAGCTGAAGACAATTTTATTGTTAGTTCATGTACGGTTTATGTAGAGGTCGTGTTTTGTTTACAATTTGTTTCCCGTTATTACAGCCATTTAAAACCTCGTTTAACCAAATAATACGATCTAATCATAAACAATAACTTGTCCCCTACTTATATAACCAAACAGTAAAGCACAAATCAAGAAATTAACCATAAAATAATAGAAACAAAGTTTCATCGACACTAGCGCCTTTGTGTCACGTACATGAACTAGACACGAAAAACGTGCTTCAAAATTTACAATGGGATGAGAAGTCTACTTGTGTTGGTTAGTCTATGGTACGATCCTGCACAAATTACTCCAATGCATGGTAATAACAAATTATAATTTTATTCTTCTAAATAATGAAAATCCTTTATAATCTTTCTTATAAATGATAATATTACTATATCAGTAATTAAATGGCAACAGTCTTACTTGGTAAAATTCCTATGATCTGACTTAAATAGGCTGTGATTCCCAGTTCCTACACACTATGACTTTTTCAAGTACAGTAGGCTAGGCCTAATGCTTGAACTCGTCTGTAACAATTTCAAAAGAAATAATAACAGGTAAACTAAAGTAATACTAATTTCACATAGTTGAGGCAAACAGAATTAATTTAAGGTGATTTTACAATTTACAAAATATTCTCCGAACATGTGCTTTTTCATCCAAATGGAACATGAAAGTTGAATATTTAATATTTGACAATTTCAAAGTTATTAACTGACAGACAATCAAAAGATTATATATAATCATAGGTAAAAACATGGCAATCAAGATTATTTACAATATAAAACCACATAAATTAATTTTCTTATTTTTAAAATGTTTTCTACTTTTTCACGAGTTTGTACAATTTTTAAGGGAATCAGCCAACTAAGAAAGATTTGAAGAAACAGCTCATTACAAAAATGACTTTAGTTAATTAACAGCTGTTCTCCAGTTCTGCCAACAAGGTGAAGTGTAATATAGTGAAACTAGTTAGCCATTGATCATGATATTCTATGTACATTATATATTCTGTGAATTAAAATAATTTAAATTTAATAAACATTTCCCTTACATCAGTATAAGGCCTACTGTGGTATTGGGGAGAAAGTAAAAATGAATTAGCTATCCATTCTAAGATAATTGTCAAATTGTATGGTCAAGTCTTTTAGATTAAGTTGTATTTAACCAATTTTGTATTCTTTGACACTATTCATGTATGTAAAAAGTATATAAACAGGATATATGCAAATCTACGCATTTTGCATCCTGTAAAATCTAAATGTTCAATGCATCCGCAAGCAAAACATGGCACTGACCCGTTTAAGATTTTGTATCTAACTTGATATTTTTTTTTTAATCCTCCAATGGACAAAATATTTATCTTGGATTTAGTGAATAACAATTAATTGTGGCATAATGTTATTTAAAGCATAACAAACCATCAGTTTATGCAGTTTTTGTTATGAGTTGTAATCAGATCTTTTAAGTGGGAGGTAAATAATTTCTCAGCATGTTTAGTTCTTGCTTGGGAAGATATCCAAAAGAATTCTTTTGCATAATATTACCAGAGTAGGGAGTATAAATTCAGATGACATAAAACAGAAAATAAGAAGAATTTGATTAACAAAGTGAATAGCAATATAGAACTACTGAGATGCAAAAGCTGTATAAGCAAAACAGCTGAACTTTAAAATATATCCCGCTGTTATAAAATAGCTAAGTCTTGTTTAATGTTTCAGAAACTGCATCCGACGATGGGATCGTACGGATAGTGGAGATCCCGAATAAAGCAGACCTTCCTCGTAGAAGTCGTCTATGAGAGGCCTTTAAACCCTATGCCCGTCTTGTAGCCAGGGTAGCGCCTGCACGCAAACCTCATGCCCTTGGTCTCCATCGATTCAACAGATGATCAACCTCAAATCCTACCCGTCAAAGCTCAGAATCCCCACAATTCCCCTGCCCCCAGCCCTGTCCAATTGGGCAACACGACAAGGAACTCTTCCTAGCATTAGAACGACAGGTGGAAGATTTATTTTCATAATAAAAATTTTTAAAAAAGTAATTAATCTTTTTAATCACCCCAATTTCCCTTCCTGTACTAAACGCCAATCTTTCAAAGTTACAGAATTTCATGGATACTAAACAGATAACGCTACTAGCGTTGTGACATACATGCAAGTTAGGGTGTCTGGTCTGTAAAGTCCGTCACTAAACTTCATAATAGTTTATTGGGTTAAAATAAGCAAAAAGGTTCCTCTAGGGGTATGTACTTAAATGCATACCCAAGTAGCACACATGTTGGCCCAACTTTGGGAAATGGTCGGCACGGTTGGGAAATGGTTGGAGGAAATTTTATCTCCTTGCCAACGTTGGCCCAACGGAAACTTGTATTTTGTTGACCCTACAAAGGAAATAATCGTTGGGCCTTTGTTGGATTTAAGTATAAAACATTCTAAAATGCATTTTAACAAATTGATTTATTTATAAGAACATAAATGCTATGACAGCAGAATATAAGACGATTTTAGAGAAAATTGGATCTATAATAAATGTTTTCAGAGATGATGTTGTGATAGTTGTGGTACTAGATACAGTGGTGGAACACCTGCTTAAAATATAATTCATTATAATATATTTTTTTTAATTAATATTCTTTAACTTATATGAGTACATGTTTAATAGTTTAAGATTAATCAATTAAGGGAAAAGATTAATTAATCATATGACAATCAATTATAATAACATTACTAATCTAATGGTAATTAAATAATCTATATTCAAATACCAGAATCCTCTCCAACTCACAGAAAAACAATTTAACTACTTTGATGCCTAAACTGATTAACAGAATCATATTATACTGTAGTGTCAAAAATATTTGAAGTATTGTGACCATTGGAACCGGCTGCTCTTATAACACTTGAAAACTCTTAATATCAACAATCACAGATAGCTCAGAGGTAAGACATCAGACTCACAAGTCAACGGTCATGGGTTCGAGACCCATCTGGGGCAAAAAAAATTTGTTCTAGTTTTTTTACAAATTTTGTTTTTATGACCTATTTAATCGCTTTACTCAACTGATAGCCTAATAATGATTTTCATACTAAATCTTTATTATTTTGTGTTTTTATGTTTAGGCTGAAATATTGAAACAATATAGAAACCATGTTAAATACTTAAAGAAACAATATTTAAACAATATATATTTTGTCTTGTTTCAATATATTTCAATATTGACTCAATATTTACCGATAAATGTCTTTTGTTTCAAATCGATATTTGTAAAATATTATTGCAATATTAAATCAATAGTTTTTAATATTGGGTAAATATCGATTCAATATATTTTACAGTATTGTTTATACATTTTCTTGCTACTTGGGAAGCTGCCCTTACCAAGTGGTTTCGCGGTCTGACAAGTGGTTTACTATTCTTACTCCACGAGGACCTACGTCGATTTCTATTGACCGACTCAAACCGGCATTCCTCCTTCAAGATTCTATGAATGATACGACCATTAACGTAAGAAAAAATGACATGCAATCTAGAGAAACTCAAGTAGACAAAATCAAAGACAGAAATGAAGATGACACTGATTTTCACAAGATCAGGTCGTAGTGTTCATCCCCCGCATCGTTACATTCCTCATTGACACTGGGAGGGGAGTATGTGGCTACATAGTTTTGCCATTAATTTGAATCTGCTAATTACTGTCTCAACTGTACTTTGAATGTTAAAATTATCATATGATCAGCTGACTTTTTGTAAACTTTATTTTTGATATTATTGTAGTTCTTTCTTAATACAAAAGTGTTTCATTGTTATAATCTCTTCTTTTAATTAGCCTAACTTATTTTGTGTTAGTATATTTATGTAAGGCACAAGCCTTAGAGGTATGTAAAAAAAGAAGATCCAGTAGACACATTATTATTAAACTCATTTTATTAAGGAAATAAAATTGATAAAACGGTAACAACAAGAAACTCCAAGTACATAACAACTGCATGGTTCAACCAATCAATTAGCTGCACACTGGACCTGAGGCATTTCTGACTCACTTTCTTGTCCTCTGGGTGCTCGTCTTCTAGATTCGGAGGACATGACCATATCACTCAGAAGACACTCTTCAGCATTTTCAGGGACGTCTTGCTGAGGCCTTGGTGGTAAACACTGCTCCAGTTGCGCCATCACAGTAGGTGGAAGCACGGATGGAAAATTGACACTAAACTGAACAATTAGTTTACCTTTCTCGGACGAATTACGATACTGAGGCATCCCCTCCCCTATAACGCACTTGATATCCCCATGTTTTACTATTTCCCCTGGAATGACAGTGATCAGAAGATTCCTGTCATCTAGAGTTCTGATCACCTTTTTGAACCCACATAAGGATTCTACCAACTCAATTTCCATTCGAAAGATCAAGTCACTTCCCGATCTTTTAAACCTGGGGTGACTCTTTTCATCCAGTACTATAACAATATCACCAGGTTTATACCCAGGTTCTTGGTCTCCTTCTTCTGTAAACGTGATTTTTTGACCGTCAACCATTCCAGGAAGGACGTGGACTTCGAGGACTTTTCGATCTCTAACTGTCTTCTTCCCGTTGCACGTCTTGCAGCGGTCTTTGATGGGGATCTTCTCTCCTTGGCCCTTACAGTCGCTGCACATACGCTGTATTTGCTGCATCATGCCAGGTCCCAGCTGGTGTACCTGGATTTCGATTCCGGAGCCTCCGCAGGTCCCGCATTTCTCAATGGCACCTTTCTTTCCTCCACGACCTTCACACTTTTCACAAACAACATTCTTCTCGATTGCCAGTTTCCTCGTGGAACCCTTGTACAGATCCTCTAAGGATATTGAGAGCTGATGTACAACGTCTTGACATTTCCGTTCACCCGGCCCTCTTCTGCCACCTCCAAAGAAGATGTTAAATATATCCATAGGGTTGGAGGAAAATCCTCCACCTCCAGTTCCCGCCTTCAATGCTTCTTCACCACCCCTGTCGTAGATGGCTCTCTTCTCTGGGTTTGACAGTACTTCATAAGCCTGCGAAATTTGCTTGAACCGCTCACCTTCACTTGGGTTTTTGTCCGGATGGTATTTGAGAGCTAGCTTTCTGTATGCTTTCTTCAACTCATCTAAAGTACAGTCGGGCTTGACGCCAAGGATGTCATAATATCCGGTTTCTTTGACCATTTTATGAATCCAACTAGTCAATGTTGTAACGCAAAACAAGATAAACGAAAAAAGCTGTTTAAAAATTCCAAGTTATTCTGTCTCAAACTGTCTAAAACTTCTAACAGTAATCATTTGTAAATTAGCTGCAAATAAAAATTCCAAAGACAGTAATGATTGTTTATTGTTTGAGTATTTTGTAAAATCAGCTGTCTAGCTTCTACAGCAAGTTAGAATCCAATGTGTACACTGTCTACTACGTTTATTCATTGGTTATAAGTAATTACCAAAGTATGTGGATTTATGCTAAATGGTCAAGTTTATTTATAGTAAAGGATATTTAACATGCAAATAAAGATCAAAGAGATAAGGTTTTTAATAATAAAACATTTCAAGTTTTTTAATATATTGTACTTAGATTTTGCAATACCTTATATACTATACAATGCTACAAACGCTCCTAGTTAATAATTAGAGTATGCACTGATTTATTCATTAATCAATTATTATGCTTTGCATTAGTAGGTTGTTAGATATTGGAAATACCATGAATTAAATCAATCCCGCGCAGAATAGATACGAAAAAATGTTAATATTAACAATACACAACGAGGCTGTATAATATAAACCTGCTTTCAAGCAAATCCTAAGAAAATTGTATATATTTTTTTCAATGAGAAAAAAAGTTGTAACTTAGGAAATCGTACTCACTCTGTGGCCTTTGCTTTCTTTCTGCTCTGCTCCTGCTGCTGCTGTCAGTAGTGTACTAGTGTCACTGTGTCAGTTAGTCAGTTCAGTGACCAGTGTCAGTCAGTTATTTCTCTTCTGATCTTTACTGTTTACTCTTTCTTTTATTCAAGGAAAGGAACGGAGTTTTAGTTTTGTAAATAATAAACTACAAGGGAAATGAAATATGCTACCTTGTCAATGATTTAAAAAAACGACAAGTTTACTAAAACGTGAGGAATGGAATCTAATTAATATAGATTTTTTTACTGCCACAATCCACCTATTAAAATAGGAAGTTATTTCAGAAGATGGATAACAGAATTATCACGGTCGACCCTAATGGTAATGGCAAACGAGGACTTCCTAAACTTCGTGACATCTTTCGGCGACAGAGACAAGATTCTGATGTAAGTTAAGTTAAGTAGACTAGGCCTATGTCATAACCTATTACTTTTACAAATGTTTGCACCAACGTCACGTTAGGCCTAATTTGGTGCACAACTCATCAAACCATTGTTTTTAAGCCTACATTGTCAGGCCTGCTGTAGGCTTATATGTATCCAGACCCACCTCATTTTATGGACACAAATGTAAATTTGTGTGATAATCATTTTGTTGGATATTATGGAAGGGTCGTAAGCAGCCAAATGCCTGATTTGAAGAGTGACTCACAAGGCTCCTTGTTCGGTTTTATTTTCAGAGCCACCAGAGTACCCTTTTCTCTTACTACCATTATAACTCTCTACATGACTCATGCTCAATTCTAAACAATACAACTCAACTATGTGGTCCCCTTACCAAATGGGATTGATTAACCAACTAGAAAAAGTCCAGAATCGTTTTCTTAGGCTGATTGGAGTCAAGATGGGTCTTAGCTACATGGAAGTAGAAATCAATGAGATTGGCCAGCTTTTTGGCCTCCTGCCATTGCTTTTTCAAAGAGAGTTGATGGACGCAGTATTCCTCTACAAGATATTAAACGACTCATAGGCCTAGTATTGATAACAGTAGGATGGTAATTGACACAGTTTTCTACCCTTTATTACTTTGCCTAATCTCATGTTCACCGTAAATTTATAACTTATATCACTGTTTGCAGGGAGGTGCAGAAAGTCCAGATCTTGACTTTGTATATGCAGATGCTGATTCGTATACCAACGAGATTGCTGAACTGTATAGTTATACTGAGCAGTCTGAATTTCAGCTTAATGTCAAGGTAAGCCTAAGAATTACTAAGTAGGCTAGTCAATTACTACACTGAAAGTAATGGAGTAGGTAGCTCTAGTAAAACCTGCAAGGCAGTATTGCTTTTAAAATTGTAGCGTAAACTGATTTTTTATGTTCTCGCCAAATGAGTTTTAGGCTACTGTATTTACCTGTACCTCTAGACTGCACATTTTATGCTTTAAAATTTCAATTCAATGCATTTGAAATAAAATTGGGTACGCCACCGTCAAGTTGTATCTACTACATCGAGTTGCATCTACGTCTAGTTGTTACTCAGCCGACAACTTTACGGTGATACAACAAGACACGATCCCTTTAATACACCTGAAAGGTACCACTTAAAATTCTAGCCTGTGAATTTTTGTTACAAATGAACAAAATCATACTAATGTGAAAGCTTGTGCGTTTGTTTGTTTGAAGTTCAATCAAGCATTAACTACTGGTCGGATTGGGTTGAAATTTGGTATTATGATAGCTCACATTCCCGATTAACATATAGACATATTCTTATCTCAAAAATCCTTTCGGGCTCCACCCCAGTGGCTCTAAAGTTTCCCATGTTAACCTTATGAGTATTCATATTTAAAAGGAATTAAAGAATTTTGCCAGCCACAAGTTGATTCTATGATATTCAATAGCATTAAAACGTTATAAGGTTTACCAACAGGGTGCAGCACTAATTAATTCTTTTAGCATTTATGACAACAGCTAATTTGAACCAAGCAGCAACAAAAAGCTGTGAGAACTTTCCTTTTTTCTATTGTTTAGGTGCAGTGGTAGAACATTATGGTATTACATTATTAAACAAAATTTTCTTAAAACGTGTCCTCTCCCATTGCAAACGCAAAGCATGTGTATAACTGCAATAAGCATTTTATACAGGTGGGGCAGAGTGGACTCCCTGATTTGATCGGTTAACTGTATAAAAACCATACAAGATTATTACAAAAGCTTTTTATTTCTGAAATCTAAATACAATGCCATTAATTTTTCATTAAGTTTTAAAAATGATATCGCCCAGGTGACGACCTTGACGAGCGATGCACATATTCAGCCGTTCAATGAAGTTTTCAAAAACTCTACGCAGCATATCTGGCGTTATTCCAGTGATAACATCAACAATTGCTTCCTTAAGGGCTTCCAAGGTCCTTGGTCGAACTTTGTAAACCTCAGATTTGAGGTAACCCCAAAGAAAATAATCGCATGGGCTTGGATCGGGGGAGCGAGGGGGCTATAAAAACATCTCCTCGTAATGAGATCAAGCGGCCGGGAAACCATTCTTGCAGAAGTTGGCGAGAGCGACGGGCGGTATGAGCCGTGGCACCATCCTGTTGAAACCAAAAGGCTTCCATATTATTTTCCTCACCATACTCTTCAATTCTGGGGAAGAAAAAGTTCTCCAACATCTGACAATAGCGCACAGCGTTCACAGTAACAGTTGCACCTTCCGATTCAAAAAAGTAGGGGCCAATTATGCCTATGGAGGACACAGCACACCACACAGTCACTTTTGGAGAATGAAGAGGTTTTTGGTGAAGAGTTTGTGGGTTTTCAGCTACCCAGTAACGAAAATTTTGTTTATATACTGTGCCCGAGAGGTGAAAATGTGCCTCATCACTAGACCACAGAATAGTGCCGGGTTGTAAAGAAGCCAGTAATGCATTGCAAGCATCTGTACGTTTAACAAAATCTGCTGGCATCAATTCTTGAACAACCATCATCTTATACGGGTGTAAATTAAGGTCTGAGTGTAAAATTTGCCTCACCGTTCTGGCCGACATTCTAAGAGCAGCAGCATGTTTCCGTGCAGAGCGCGATGGAGATTGTTCAATAGACGCTCTCACCGCCATTATGTTCTCTGGTGTCCTCACACTCTTTGGTTGTCCGACTGGTTTTCTAGGCAGTGCAGATCCGGTCGCCCGTACACTTGTAATCCATTTCCTTATTGTTTTAGCATCGGGAACACTATCATGACGATGGTGACTACTAACAATGGCGTCTTTCCCCCCACCACATGAAACCTCTCCTACTCCGCTAACTCGCGCGCACGCTCTTCAGCGACTGATTGAAACTAGGGAGTCCACTCTGCCCCACCCTGTACGTTAACCCCGTACGAAGGACTGGTAGGCCTACTCTGATAGTAGTTCACATTAGTAAATTCAGTCATTCACTGTAGGCCTAGATTATATATTATTTGAAATTGAAAGTGACACTCTCTGAATACAACTGAACCTACACAATTTAAATCAATAACCTTCTTGAACTTTACCAACACATAGAACCTACAGCTATCAAAACTATTGTTGTAGCTTGGTAAATCTTAGTAGGCCAGAATACATTTCACAGTAAAAATTTTTTATGAAAAGAGTGTGTACCTTATTTAATGTGAAACTATATATAACGTAAAAAGTTTGCTTCAGTAGTTGATAATATCTTTTTAGGCGTTTGAAGATCTGATGGAAATGTATGGACTGACACCTTGCTGGCAAAAATTCAGTCTAGAAAAGAAAAAATCCACAATAACAAAGTTGTTGGACCAACTGGAAGTTTCCAATAAAGATCTGCGAATGAAAGCTGCCAGATGCTTTCAGTACTTGGCTCAGGTATGTGTATTATAGACTATAAATAGACTTTAATATTATTTTGAGTTAAGCTCATAGGCATTAACTTAAATTATTTCATCGTTAACAAATTGATACCATATCTGTTTGGAAAAGCTTTGCCTCTTACTTTAGGTGTGTTCTTTGTTGTTAATTATATGTAGGCTATTATATGTAGCCTGATCCTATTTCAGCGGTGTGATTTTAAAACTATTAAACTTGGGGTGAATTAATAATGTATTTTCTTAATAATGAAGATCAGATATATTTTTCAGATTGTTAAAAGATAAGCTTCAAAGTAAACAATGCAACAAAATACATAGTTTTGTGACCTCCTCCGGTAAAGGCCATTGTGAGAGAAACGTGGCAATGATTTATGAACTAAGGGTCTTGTGTGCTTTACAGTATATAAATGTTATACCTTTTTTTAAGAAAAAGACAAAATATAATCTTAGTTTACTCAATAGTGTGTGGGACAATAGTGAAGCGGAGCAAATAGGTTGGCAACTAAAGGGATTTGCAACGTTGTCACATTGATTGTCACAGCCTTAAAAAGATCACAATATTAGGATAGTCGGTTTAGATGTTTTGCTGTCCTTCTAGTGTCTAGCACACTTTACTAAGATGCAATAATATATGTTTTACTCAGGGCTGTTGGGCGGAGATGCAGTCAGATAAAGAGCAGCAAGCGTGTACAAAGGACAATGTTTTCCTTCTGTACGAGTGTGGGGTGTTTCACGCCTTTGTTGAGCTCCTCAACATTGAGATAGAGTGAGTTTAAGTGATGAAAAGCTAAAAATTCTACTTTATGACTTTAAGAACAAACATGTAGCAGCTGCTAGCCTGCCTTGGAAAAGTTTAGATTGGTAGTACAGTAGACACCCTCTTAACCGACCCTAATGGGACCGGACCTAGGTCAGATAACTCAAAAGGTTCCGATAAAACGTGCAATCCCTAAAATCATAACATAATGAAGTGCTATTCATTTGGAATTATGTAATCATTATTTTGAAGTCATACTTGCATTATTTATAAAATAAACTACTCTTATCTCCTTTTTCATATTGATAGAAAAGTCACATATAAACATAAAACACGGTTAAGTCAAATAGGCCTACTTTCAGTGGAATATATTATAATACTAGGCAAGAGTCAATTAAATTCCTATTTTAATAAATTTAGTACTGTAATGTATTAATTGATGCTTTCCAAATACATCGTAATACAGTACAGAACCTTTTGTCGTCATTAAAGATACAAGCGACCATTTTGTTACAAGACAGGACGTTTATTTATAGCCTCTCACTGGAGGCTCGAGGCACAAAAGCTATCTTGACCTTGGAGTTGTTAACCCCCCTTCCCTGCCTTCCCTACAAGTTGCGTTGTTTGTTTACTCCGGCGATAAGATGATCAGTTCTAAAAATCGTAACTTTATGATGTTATAAATTTGCCGCACAGATAACAAATCAGATCAGATGTGCTCGAGCTACGAACGATGATGACAAACTGACAATAGGCTATGCTATATTTTTTGTGATCAACACAAAATAACTGATTGTTAGTCATATCCTATGGAGATAAGCGTATGGTTTAGTTCTCATCGCCCAGCGTGGGATTCATTGGGAATGCCGAGATTCCTAGAAAGCGGCGGTTAAACCGAGTTGCTTTCAAAGCAAGGTCGGTTAAAACAAACTGTATTATTTTACCTTCGAAGGCGGATAATCCGATAATCGCTTAATACGAGGTCGGTTAAGAGGGGGTCTACTGTATACACAAAAAATGGAGGACACCGAAAACTTGAAAGGGTGAAAGTGAGAGAATGGGTACTTTAAGGTTAGTTTTGTTTGAGAAAATGCTCTGATCCAGGATTATAATTTTAAAGAAAGGAATAGTAACTAGCGTATCTTAGAGAATGTCCAAGAAGTAGGGGTCCGTTCGAAATTCGGGTACAGCCTATTATAGTAAAAAATTACTTTCAATTTACTATGTAGTTTTAAAGGCTTATCAGATGTTTGTTTACGATCTTCATAATTTATTACTAGGGTGATGATGCAATAAAAAACCCAGTAGCAGTCCCAAATCCATTAATATTTTATGTCCAGCTGAAACAGTCCTTGTTTGAAAACGTTAAATATTCTAATGATATGTAAAGAGTAAAGTTTGTTTGTTTCTTGTGCTAGGATGGCCTTGTCTAAGCTTGTTATTCAAATTTATAGTAGAGTGATACAGTATGTATGTGACAGCAACTTAGCCACAGCGTCTACTGCAATGCGCAAGCTGGCTGTGAGCCTAGCAGACTCTACAGATCTGCGAGTGATACTGAGTGTGTTGTACATCATCACAGAGACTATCCGATGTGTCAACGAGGACGACCCCCCTGAATGGCACAATGTTGTGGACATGTTCAAAAACGACATCAGTGAGTACAAGTTAAACACTATGATGTAACATGATTCATTCTTGCCACCAAGACTGATTGTATGAAATAATATAAAAGGTTACATACCTCTGTCGGTCTTAAGTCTTTGAACATGGGTCACCAAACCGAAACTAGTCATCTTCAGACTATTTTTTTAAGACTGAAGACAGACAGAGGTTATATACCATTTGTTTTGTTATTGTGTTATTCATTCATCCAAATCACAAATCCCATTTAGTCAAAATTTTTGGTGGGCACAACCACTTTAGTGGCAGATTAATTCCATTTTGTGGGTGGGGGCGGAACTGGGGGGTCTGGGGGTATCTTCCCGGGATTTAAGAAAATACCATGGAGAAACACCGAGGAAGCCGGTAAAACTGGAAATTGTTTTGACTTTTGCAATTTGCCTGGGAAATCCATTTTGTCATTTGTTGTATTACGGATTTAAGCCCAATTTAGAAAAGATAAACACCCACACCCAGCGTACAGAGTTTATGTATTTGCTTGTATAAACGCATGAAAAACCTGACTGTTAAAACGTGGTAAACACCGTCTGCTGTCCAAGCAAAAACTTGAATGTCTTCCTCGGTCATGTTAAAATCAAGAACATCATCTGCGATCACAGTAAAATTGAGGACATCTTCCACAGTTACAGCAAAATGGAGAACATCCCCGTGGTCACGGTTAAATCATGAACATCTTTCACAGTCAAGGTCAAATCAAGGACATCTTCCATGCTCATGGCAAAATTGTGAGCATCTTCCAAAAGAAGATTTTTATTTAAAATTAAACAAAACATTTAATCCTAAATATTCAGTTATCCGAAATGGGCCTGGTCCCAACCATTTCGGACTAACGGAACTACTGTAGTATTAAACTACCTAATTGAAGGTAAAACTTATAAAGATTCCACCTATCGTTTGAACATATACTTGTTTGATCTCAATTATTCACCACTTAATATATGTGGGTCTCTACCACCAAGCTCTACCACAGAGCTGTTCGAGACATGATTCAAACTCTTGACTTACCGTACTGTTCTGTCTCCTGGCTAGACTGCACGAACTACCACACTGTCAATATTGGTAAACCCAATGCCAGGATGCAGCTCATGTCTCATTTTTTTTAACAAAGAAGCAATTTGGATAGCCAATACCTGCTCCAAATACAAAACAAGATGTTGCAAGTATTTTGTAAATTGGTATTTTGTATTTGGTTTTAGGTGGCAGCAGTATTGTATTGTATTGGGTTTTTTATGCATACATGGTAAACATAGACACAAACATTGTTCACAATGTGCACATAGAGCACAGTACACAAATGCAATGTTTATGGAACCCAAAAAGATAATAGATAAACATTCCTAAATTCTTTGAAATAAAAACAAAATCGATCTCAGTACATTTTGTGGTTTTGATTGATAAGGTCATACTCTCTTCTACAGGTCATCCAATGGGAGAAGAGCTGCTGGTGGTTAAACTGTTTGGTATGGTGACTAAGTTCTGCGGCAACTCCGCTCCACACTTTCCCATGAAGAAAGTATTGTTGCTGCTATGGAAAATGATTCTAGTATCTCTCGGTGGCATGAGTGTGCTTCAAGAATTGAAAAGTAAAGTGGTTTATGTTCTTGTATAAATGTGTTTAACGTAGAGATGTTTGGACCTACTAAAATTATCAGTCTGTAATTAATTATGGTCAGCTTATTAAGGTAACAACATATTTTGACATACTTTTTATATTCTTAAATGTTGATTTGATGAAAAATTAGTCTGTGTGTTTGAACAATTTCAATTTGTTCTTGGTTTTTACTCAACTGTGTATAGATGTATAGTACCAAGGGACCAAGGTGCTCAATGGCATTTTATTCGTTTAGGTAGTTGTAACAATTTAAAACAGACTCGTTTATAACTTTAAAAACAATTTTTTTTATACAAAACATAAATCTACATTAATAACAGTAAGAATAATCTTGTACTATAAGAATCTATTCTTTTCATCTGAATTGAAACTCCATAAGTTTGGTGTTGAATATTTTTATTTCAAAATGAGCAATAAGAATTTGATCATTTAGAACATTTATCATATTGCAGAGAAGTACCGTGAGCAGGCTGGGCTCGCTGTTTACGAGGAGGACACAATAGAAGTAGTGAGGACTATGAGAGCTTCCTCCCCACCAGCCAGTGCAGCGGACCTGCTGTTGCTGGAGAATCAGACTCCGAATCAGAACCAGCGACGCAACAACCGGCCATTCCGTAGGGTCAGTACATCTACTAACACCATATTGACTGGATTGTTACTAAGGCCACTCAAATAGAATGAACATTGCATATGATTTTTTTAGAGCGAAAGGAATACAAGTTGGCTGCGTAGAGAGTAGTTTTAGTGCTTGCCTGGCAATCAAAAGCCAGATCGATCCTGAGGAGATAAATGTCAGCATCAGATATGTTTCTTGTAATCAGTGTCTTTATATGAATGTAATCTGGAAAGTACTTTAAAATTTGCAGTCCTATATAATATGATTTGTAATCATCAGTTAATTTACATTGGATAGAAATTATCATTTTTCAAACATTTTCTAGTATCATACAGATTGCTTTCAAAGTCAGAGGTTTCTAAATAATTTTCTGCAATGATAGATTTATCTAAGATGTATTGTCTGTAAACTGTTGAAATTTCAGAGTCTAATGAAGCAAAGCTCGCTGGACGAGTCACTCGGAATGGACTTTGATCAGTCAGATGAAGAAATGAGAGAGTTTGACGATCAACAAGCTATGGAGGACGGAGGGGAGAATACACGTCCTTCCAGTCCACGGCCCTCCACTCCCACCCCTGCTAAAGGTAATAGTGTGGAAGTGTGTATTATAGCATGAGCTTCACTCAATAGGTCAAGAAATGTAGAAAAGTAACACAACTAGTAACAAAACTAGTAACATTAATAATTGTGTAAGTCTTATCTGCTTATTGAGCGAATCTCATTCTTTTCAAAGGGAATCCTGCTCACGTTTTCACAATTTAACTTTTACTTGATCAAATTAGGTACTTAATGAATAAGTGTTCATTTCGCCCAGTGTTACAATTGTATATTGTATGGGTTAGCTCAGATTCATTTTCAACGTTAAAAGGAACAATAAAAACCACCATGATAGCAACCATGTAGGCATGGCATGTTTTGCCTCACCAAAACATTTCAAAGTTGGTGGCTATTTTTAACCTTGAATTTGCCCATTCATATAGGCCCGGATGAGCCAGTACAGTACCTACAAGAAATAACTGATGAATTATAAGTGTCAGTACTGGAACGCTAATCCATGACATCGCTACCTTGTTTTCACACACTACCACGCTACTGACTGACATAAACTGCTCAAATGGTTTTCCCAGGTCTTCCTTGGCTTCCGAAAGTTAGACAGAGAGATTTGGATGTGTTTCTGGACAACACGAGGATCAAGTTTGTTGGTTTTCCTCTACAAGGTGATAGAGAGTCGCTTTTTGGACTGCCCCAACCCATTCATGAGAGCGTTCACATTTTGAAGCAGGTAAGCTACAGAGATTTTTTTTCAGCTTCTTACCACTTGTTAGACAAAGCAAAGGTAATATTTCCAACAACAAAAGTATTGTAACTATTCACTCTTAACACTTTTTATTACATAGCTTACATTTGAATACTTAAGTTCTACATGCACTTGAGCTCACAACTCTTTGGTAGAAAAACACATATTTTATCCATTTATTTTCTGTTCTAAGTGTTTTTTCCTTACTGTTTTTTTTTTATTCAGAAACAGTGCGTAATACATTTGTTTGGCCTACCAGTAAAATTACAGACAAGTGTCCTACCTTTCCAGGTTTTGTAAAAAAAAGTAAAAAAATCTCATCAAACATTTATAATATTAAAATTGTTTGGAATAACTGTTGCGTCAATTGACCCTGTTGTGTTATAAATAAAAAACGACAGCTGTTTCGTGCTGCTAAGAGCACACCTTCAGGTTAAACGTTAAAGACTGTTCTCATTGATCTATGAGGTCATCAGCATTTATATTTAAACTCTTCTTAGACATAAAAACGTACAAATACGACATTTAAACAAAAAACTTGCCCGAACACGAAAAAAGTAGTCCGAACACGAGGTGCATTACCGGTTGATGATTAGTTATGACTGACCTGTGTCGGAGGTAGTAACCCCCTCCCCTTTTCCCTCCTTATCTTGACTCTGTTTTTTTTTTTTTTTCGAGAATGTGGATAGCAGTATTGTAAATGATATTAGATTTGAAGGACAGCTGTTTGTTTAAGATATGGTCAGAGTGTTGACTGTGATGGTGGCGTCTTCCTGAAATCCAGGAGGTCACGGATTGTGGATATTTATAGGCATGCACTGTGGATGCCATACTCCCTGGTGTGGATTAACGTCCGCACTAATGAGTACTACCACTATCCGCAGTACTATCCTGATAATTAGACCAATTCCTTGATTACAAGGAAAAAACGTGGTTCGGATTTCACTATATACTGTAGGTCCCTTAGTTGCCATTGGCTGTATGGGCTATTAATTAACAGCTGTGTCTAAGAAACATGTCGGCCGTAGTCACTAACAAGAAACTAAGATTGTGCCACTCATCCTACACTCACATTTGGGTTAAAATACGCACATAGTGTCCCTTTCTTAAATAATTGAGTTAATTGATACTTGATGTAATTGTTTTGATGCTCTGTAAATCTCGAATTCTTCTATGGTATCCATGATCCAGATCCTAACCCATCATGAAACATTAAATAACAATATAAAGGTTTCAGATCCACTGATAATTGGTAAATAAATATTAGTCTGAAGTATGTATTTAGAACTAAAGCCATGATATTACAATGGAAATGGTAAAGACTCAAAAAGTTTTGTTCAGTGGAGTCAAGACACACAGCCATTTGATGTTTGACCTCTCTACTTAACAGGGTCTGTAAGCTTGTAATTTTTGCTACCGTGTTTTAGTTAGTTCAATACAGCGGACAGTCTAAAACATAACTATAACCGACACTGATAACTCTTCAATTTTTACTAGTGCATAAAACCATTTAGCCCTCTAAAAAGTACATTTAGGCTGATAGTCTTCTGTAATTAAAAGAAAACAAAATTTTCAGCATATTTACACATCCCTGGCTGAGATACAAACTCAACAAGAAGAAGATTATGCTAAAAGCCCAATATCAGTGAAAGAACCTCCCATCTCGCTTACAGCCTCTGAAATACTTTATCAAGTAAGTGTAGCAAAAAATGTTTTTTTACATTCACTTTAGAGAAATACTCATCATCAGTATTACACTAGGCAATATCGTAATATTTATAATCCAATTGTAGAACTATACAGTCTATGAGTATATAACATTTCATATTAGTTATTATTTGTTTTTTGTGCTATAATAGCATGTATTATTATTTACTCCTCCTAATATATTAAAAAGAAGAGGTAAAATCCAGGAAATGGAAATTTTTTAAACTGTTTTTTGCATTAAATTTACAATCAACCCAATGTGCAATGTGTTTTTGTATTGTTGTATTTTACTAAACAAAATTTCAAATGTTAAAACCTATATTTTTTGTATTAACTATAAAAACTGTAAATTTGATTTTAAAATCAATATTATACTGGTTGGCTAATTAACAAAATGTTACAATAATTTCTTCAAAAACTCAAGTTACACAATTTAATAAGTAACTACAAACATACCACTAACGTCACTGCATTTAGAAAGGCTTAATGGCAAATACTGAAATACAGGTTTTGGTTATTTTCAATCTTATAGCATAAACATTGGTTTGATTGAATATTTGACACAATGTTGACAAATTATTTTGCAAATTTCAGGCCCTGCTAGCAAACTTACCACAATACATGATTGCCTTGCTGAAAATATTATTGGCTGCTGCTCCAACATCAAAGGCAAAAACAGAATCAATCAACATCATGGCGGATGTTCTACCAGAAGAAATGCCGTGAGTAATTAATTCAAAGTTGATATGTGTAAAATGCTGATTTATTACAAAACATTAATATAGTAATGTAAAGACATTAAGGTAATTTATTATTAACACTAGGCATGTTACGCATCTAGCTGGCTGCATTGGGAAGGTTAGATGCGATACCTTGAACTGAGGGTCTTTTTGGCATCTGCGGACATAAAAACAAAAAGTTTATCTGTCCCAGGTCTAGGTCCTACTATGAGACCTACAGTAATAGCTTATTCCCTATGCGGGAAATTTTCTCAAATTAAGTTAATTCCTGTAATAGTAAATACACATATCATAGTTTAAAGAGGTTCTGCTAAAGACTTATATTAGTTGATATTTTTTAGGATGACAGTTCTACAATCCCTCAAGCTGGGTACGGATGTCAACCGACACAAGGAGATTGTAGTGAAGGCAGTGTCGGCCATCTTGTTGCTCCTACTGAAGCACTTCAAGCTCAACCACATTTACCAGTTTGAGTTCATGTCACAACACCTGGTGTTTGCCAACTGTATACCACTTGTGCTCAAGTTCTTCAACCAAACCATCATGGATTTTGTTGGCGCTAAGAATGTGTAAGTGTTAGATTATCTTGAAATTCCATTTACAGTAGAGAGTCGATTATCTAAAACAATTTGAGGTAGGGAATGTTAGGATAACTGATTTTTTGGATGGTTGGTTATTGTCAGTAAAAATGAGATACAATATTTCACCTTTGATTGACAACAATTAAATTTATTATTAAGTGTTGGGTATACGTGTAATTTTTACTAAGTTGATTGTTTCCTGCAATTGTTGCAACAATCTTGATAACACCTGTGAGCATATCTTGCAGTATCGGCGACACCACTCATTGATCTGTACCGTAATTGACTTGAACCTCCCTTCTCAGATTTCATGACGTTATTGTCACTTGTGGTAGCAGAGGCAAAGGGTGAAATTAAATTTGAAATTCAATATTTTACTCTTAACACGTTCGCTGCGGTCGTGTTAAGAGACTGACTGAAGACAGCACTAAAGAGCAGGGTCTCAGTGTTGCCAAATGGATGGAAAAGGTAGGGACGAAAAACCGGATACACCATAAAAAATACGGCAAAAAGGCGTCGAGCACAATTTTGAGGCTAGGCTCCTTCAACAATGCTTCACTGCAGTAATTATTATCACTGTTGCATTCCATTTCACTAAATCCAAGCCAAAACCCCCCTTCCACCGATAAAATAGTCATATCTGTAAATCAAATATACTGAATTGAATTATAAAACTGGCACAATAAGCAGCAATCGGAAACAACGTTCCCCGTGCGAGGCTGAGCTCACACTGAAGCTAGGTTGTTGTTATACAAGGAGGACGACATTTCCCGTACGGCATTACAAGAATTCCTGCCCCTCGCACACTCTCTAAATTTGTAAGTCGTAAGTCTTAACTTAAATATTTTCTTCAGATTCAGTGGGTTTAACGTTGGGTTTAATATCTTGCTTTGACATTGCTATAATCTGGAAATTTTAATTTTTTTTAAAACTACTTATTTTTTAATCTAAATCAATATGCCATTTGTATCAAACAATTATTATCTCTTCCTTTAAATAATCTACCTATCTATCTAATGCCTGGTGAGATTAAACAAACTGTCATCCCAAGCCTATCTCTACGCTAAACTCTCATTGTAGAAGTTTCAGTGTCTGCCTTTTTATAATTCCCATTCTTAGATTTGTTAAACTACAATGGTTGTGTTGTTGTGTAGCATACCAATCCTGGACTTCCCCGCGTGTGTGATCGGTGACCAACCTGAGTTGACAGCCGAGAGTTTAGAGATCGGAGACAGTCAGCTGTATTGTTGGCGTAACGTGTTCAGCTGCATCAACCTGCTGCGTATACTCAATAAACTCACCAAGTGGAAACCATCCCGCATAATGGTTAGTTGTAAATTTTGTAACATATATATCCAAAGTTCCTGAAGTAAAATGCTTAACTAAAAACCTAAACAATATAATAACAATTTGTGTAAGATCAGCTGATCCTCTGTGGACAGCCAACTAGAAAAACTTTAACATAATACTTTAATCATTTCATCTGAAATGGCGACCATGTATGAATGGAGATGAGTGTAGGATGAGTAGCACAATCTTTTAGTCTTGTTACATACATCTTGTCTTATAGATGTCAACTTGTAAAATTTTCTAATAGCCTTAACAATTAAATAGTAATATCTGATTATTTTAGAAATAACCTGAGTTGTCATACAAAAAACAAATCGCTATTACATTTAGTTTTTGTATGGTTTTCCCAGTATATCTCCACCAGCCACTCTTATTGTATTCTCTTTTGTTAAACTTCCATAGCTACTGCTGATAATAAATAAAAGCAGATAAACTGCCAGTAGATAATCAAGAGTTTTCACTATCGATTTATTTAAAAAAAATTAAATTGCTGCTTACAATTCCTTTTACCACCTAGAACTGCTACTTTTTTTCTCAAGTGGTGTAATCATAATAAATTCTACAGATGCTGGTGGTATTCAAATCGGCACCAATCCTCAAGAGGACTCTGAAAGTCCGTCACGCCATGATGCAACTGTACGTTTTAAAGTTGTTGAAGATGCAGACCAAATATTTGGGTCGTCAGTGGAGGAAGTCCAACATGAAGACTATGAGTGCAATCTACCAGAAAGTGCGTCATCGTCTGAACGATGACTGGGCATATGGAAACGGTGATAATTTTTTTTTCTAATTCACAATATGTTTCTTCACCGGTAAGAATTGTGTAGTTAAAGTTGGATTTACAAGATGGACTGTAAATGTAATGATTCAATGATTGCTTTATTATTTATTGAAATGTTTTAGTAAAAGAAAATAAGTGGAATTTTAAAAAAATTTGGGTACTGTGAAATTGTATGAAAATGTACATTGATTGTCTTTAACACCACAATGGCAAAGCTTCTTGACTATTGACCGAAGAGTCCATTCCCATCTTAGCTGTAGTCAGTTTAAGAATGAAAATAGATAAACCTAGTTGAATTGATCCCCTTAAACGTAAACAGCATAAACATAACCTGTTCATCTCCCTCCCTCTCAGATGGAACCTAATGACAATCTATTGCCTGAACTATAACTGTTTGTCACAAACATGTTGATAACTTAGGAAATTTCCTGTTGCAGACCTAGACGCCAGACCTTGGGATTTCCAGGCTGAGGAGTGTGCGCTGAGAGCAGCTGTTGACAGGTTCAATACACGCCGCTACAGCACCAGTAGTTTGGTACGTGCTAATGTTTATCGACAGTGACTGTTTAAAGAACATTGTACTGCAGTGTAGTAGTATAAAGTAGTACAGTAAGCCTATAATTGAAACTGAAGACTTTCCTGTTCAGATGCATTCCTCTGGCCAGCTAGCCTTTGTGGTAATATGTTATACCAGGATTGATTAATGTGTTATACAGTACTAAGGCTGAGAGTGTGGCAATTATTTTTTATAGGTTATGTTATGTTCTTTTATGTAGATAGTTTCCATACTCAAAAAATCCGTAATATAGGAGAAAGCTTAAAACCACAGTGATAAGAATCGTTATCAAAGAAGGCAAAAGCTCTGATCGCAAAATCTAAAACCCCTCCCATGGTCTTGGAAACATTTCCAGGGATCGCTGCAAACTTATGAACATCTTCCGCGGTCTTGTCGACATCATCTTTGTCTCAAGCGGTCACAGGAAATCGTAATTGTCTTCTGCAATTGCGGCAAAAGCATGAATCTTTCTGTTACAAAATCTTTGCTCAAATCATACTTTTTTCTGTAAAATACCCAAAATTTCGGCAACAATTTTTGACTATACAAATGCGCTAGAGTCCCAATTGATTCTAATAGTGTTCTACCGCATATAAAATATTTTTTAAATTAAGTTAAATATACCAAGTTTGTTCTGTATGAGGTGACTTTATTGAGTGCTTATACAATAGGACTATATTAACCTTACTTTAGCCTCAGAAATGTGCGTGGCATGTAAAAAGTAGGGCAAGGGGTGAACTGTACTGATAAGTGTTGGTGACTCCGGGACTTCAGTCAATTACATACTTTCTGTTCCAGGACCCAGACTTTGAACCCATCGACACCTGTATCACAAGTGTACTGGGCTCCCTCAGTGGCATAGAACTTACAGAAGAGTTCAAACAACACTACGAGCTTTGGCTACAACAAGAAGTGTTCCAGTCATCCACCAACTGGGACGAGATACTCCACTACAGCTACATGTAGATGTAACTCTGTAACTGACCTTGTAAATACTGTACAGTCTGTGTCCTTGTATGTGTGATTGAACTGTTAAGTATATCACAGGTAAAACCATAGATCAGTCTAATTAGTACTAAAATGAGACTGACGTTTCAAACAATGGTTGTTATCTGTGTAAATTTCTGTGACGTATTAACATACTCAATCCGTTGTTCTTTGGCACTTTTTTAATCACAAATCAGAAAACACCGTAAATGAGATCTTGCAGAGAGAAATTGTGACATTGGGACAGGTTGTACTTTAGCTGTATTTTTCAGAAAAGGCCATCTTTATCTGTTCTGACCTGATGAGCAAAGTTGTTAAGGATAGGTAATATTTAAAGTAAACTTTTTTTCTTAGTATACCAGTTAGTTGTCTGTCTTACAACAACTAATCCGACCACAAATCTAGCGTTTAATGTTTTGAGAAAATTCTCTAAACCGATACTCAAATAATTTAGATTCCCCAAAGCAGGGAATCACGTGTTTGTTTTTTTTCTTTCAACTAGTTATGTGCAATGATGAGGATATAGAGCGGTCTTACTGATATATACATTTAAGAAACTGTACCATAAACCAAACATTATTTAAGTTGTCTCTTATACAGTACAACTATATTTTCAAGTTAACTCTGCCAATGTCGTTTTTTAATGGATAACTATACCTTATTTATTTTTCTTTACTTGACTAGACCCTCATTTAGTTTGTAAAAATTGTGACTGAAAGTTTTGTTAAAGTTATAAAACTAAGCTTTGAGTGGTAAGGAGTCATCTTGTAAAATATATTCTATATTAGAATGCCGCTACTGATTGCTCTCTGTTATTGGAGGGAGGCTAAAAGATCCTTGAATGGCTTTTGTTTAGTTTTTTTTTTTCGTGTTATTTACCTATATCAATACTTATTTATAAAAAAATATATTTATCTTAAGCCTGTATAATTTTCTATTAACAATAACTGTAAATTGTGTGTAGTAAAATCTGACACCTTTAATGCTTCCTTTTTTTACCCTGTGAATTTATTTAATAAAAACTATAAACATAAACATAAACATTTATTATAAATATTACAAGACAAATAAATCTAAATTACAGATGTTACTAAAAATTTTGATTCTTTCAATATATATATTGGATGCCTGCTCCATCTTCGAACTCTCTAGCAGATCTCCATTTTTTCCGAGATCTTCTCAGACACATGCTTGTTGCCCTTAAAATTGAGCAAGTCAGTCTCGTTCTTATCCAATTGACTACTAGGCTGTAAGGCTTAACACATTTTTCTGACAATCTTTCAGCTAAAGCTCTTATTAGTGTTTGAAAATCATTTCCTAGGATTCCGCAAACTGATGTAATCAAAGGGGTGAAAGAGGCATTCCGGTTCTCACAAGCTGTCATATACTTTCTTTTCTTTTCTTCTTCTGCATTTTTTATGACATTGTCATGAGGTTTGGAAACATATGTTTGGAAATCTATGGCCAAGAGAATAAAAACCATGCAGTAATTTTATGTAGTTATCTCTTTGGAAGATAACATATTGCTGAGGAGGTCTAATTATTGATTATCATAAAAATTGTCATATTGGTTAGTTCCATAAACTTGTACTACTGAGCAGAAGAAAGTCAAAGAGGGAAATCTCAGTTATCAGTTTAACCAATTATCAATTTCTAATTAATGTTAAAGTTCTCCAGTAAGAGCCTTGTGTAACATCGTCTCGTGTTCACAAATTCATGGAGCTTTCTATTAAATGTGGACGAAAGGTCTTGATACTTTATAATTCCCTCAATGTGTGTAATTTTATACAATGAGCTTATTGTTCAGTCAAATATTCCTTTTTATAGGCTTTGAAATCTATCAGCTTGAAAGTTTCCTAGCCATGATAACTATTATGATTTTTTAAATGGGTTTATTTCAATGAAAGTTTTTATCTTGGAACCATGTGCAAAACAAAGTACATTTGTACATAATATGACAATAGATAGTGAAAGAACTAGGGATACTTTTCTGTTTCACGTTGTTCTGAGTCAAACAAACGTTTTCCATGGCTAATCATTATCACAGGTAATATGGTAAAATTGTTCCATCAATATTACAATACTTTCCTTAGTGCTCTTCACTCCATGTGAACACTTTGGTAATGCATAACCTTTTTCTACACACGTTAAAAGTTAATAGTAATAATTTAAAATTGAAATCATACAGACATCAATCAAAATGAACGCAATTCTTGGAAACTAACATTTAATTTAAACACATCGGTAACAAGTATTATTAATGGCCTTGATTCAATTTTTTGAAAAAGAACGTATTCCTAGTCAAGTATTTTTAACTTACGGCCAGACTTCTTTGGCAACAAATTACAATAAAGAGGTAACTCAAGTGTAATGTGATCCCAGTCAATTGTTGGATGATACCATCTCTGAGACACTTACTGCGACCTTAAAAAAAATTGAATGACTTCCTATCATACCAAATACTTGTTTCCTTTGAATAAAGATGATTACATCTTTTCCTCAGAGATTTTATGATGAAATGTATGGTCAAACACAGAATATACAGAAACAGGTGTGTGAGAAGTGGCGTTATGATGGATAGAGACTGGTTAGTAATGACATGTCTATATTTTATGCTCCGAGTGTTTGGTGTTTTGCCAATCAAATGGAACAGGCACATTAACTATTCTCTACACCTTTGTGGTGAAGATAAAGGTAAGCAATTATCAGTTCAAGTTACTCATGTTTACCAATCCAATGTCAGGTTATTTGTCAAAAACAATACACTGTGTGACAACTGTTATTCAGAATAACTCTCATTCTAAATCTTGAATTATTAATCTTCAAAACTTCTAAATTGTTATGCTTAAAGATTTGAGTCACGTGCCTAGTTTTAAAATAGAGGGACATACTACTTTAATGTTGCCATTAAATAGGTAATAACCACTGCTCATGTATAACAATGTTAATATCATTGGCTGCTCCCAGCTTAGCTTCTATTTAATAGTAAATTACTCGTACTACATTGCACGGTAAAATTATTTTGGTTGTTAGGGGAAAATGTTCATAAAAGACTTATGGAAAAGGAATCTTATTTAGATTTTCCATACCATAAAATCCTATTCCATCAATCAATCAATCAAATCACTTTATTTGTCCTTGTACATGTCATTACAAGAAATGGCGTCAAATATAAAGCTAAAAAACAATACAATTATAAATTTAAAAAAAAACTACCACTACTGCTTCATAATTTTGTTGTATTCATAAAATTCCTCTATTGAGTAAATGGGTTTGTTGATCAAATATATTTTCAATTTACATTTTAGTTTGTTATTATTTTTTTCTGATCTTAGTTCATTTGGAAGTGCTTTAAAGAATTTATTGCCAATGTATGTCGTCTTTTTTTTTTTAAATTCCAATCTATGTTTTTCAAAATGTTTTTCGGTCTGTCTTCTTGTATTATATTGATGACCTATTGGTTGTACATAAGTTTTTGTTATAAAAAAATAAGATACATTCAAAAATATACAGACCATACACAGTTAAAATTTTAAGATTTTTGAAGTGTTCTCTTGCGGAGTCATCATCTTCAAGTTTGAGCATACATCTAATTGCTTTTTTCTGTAGGTTTAGAATTGTATTCAGATTATTTATTGTTGTTGCACCATACAAGCCAATTCCATAAGAAATATTAGAGTGAATCAGAGCAAAATATATTTGTTTTAGTACAGGCAATGAGCATAGGCTGGCCATACGCCTTAAGGCGAATAAACCGGAGTTAATTTTTCTCGATATATGTTCGACATGTTTGTCCCAGCATAGGTTTTCATCAATATTCTGTTTATTCATAAATTTATTCTTTATTTTATGGATAATAAGTGTTCATGATTATGAAATTCATATGAACTTACATTTTGATGCTAATTTCTTTGTTTCAGCCTGCTTCTCTGTCAGTAACAAGTGGAAGTTGGCCACGGTTCTCCAAATTGTGGTTTTTATTAGATTCAGTCATGATCAGAGGTTATTCCCTTGGCGATTACACATTGATAACCTATTTGCAGTAGTTTTTAACGCAAGTCAATTATCAGCTGTGTGTTGTTTGTTTCTGGTTCTTTTCTACCAACCAGAAGAACTATGCATTTGCTGTTCACTGGCTTGCAGACTATTTACTCTACCTTCAAAAAGCAAAAAGATTCCGCTCAGTCTATCAGTACTCCTGATTGTTTATCCATTGATTACAATAATCTATCTACTTTTATTTATTGTGATTAAAAATTTGGATTATAGATTGTTTTTTGTTATTTTCGAGTTCAACTATGAATATGCTCCGACGGCTTGTATAGAAATTACAGTAGTCCTTATGTGTTACGTGGTCTCAAGATCTCTTATAGATTTAAATAGGAAATTGAAAAAAATGAATCAGTGCAATGGAAAAACTTTTAAAAGCATAATAGATTTATTGAAAAATTTCTTGTTCGTTTCCCAATTTGGAAATCAATTTGCTAAGTATTTTAGTGTTCATTTTTTAAATATTTTTTCTATTTATGTTTTGCAAATGATTTGTTACGCCATTATTTTAGTAAAAAATTTTAAAATCGGGGATTTTGAGCAAGTTTTATCTCTTGGAATTCATGTTCTTTACATAACAGGAAGACTGTTTTTTCTGTGCCACTGGTGTCAGCAAGTTACACTTAAAGTAAGTTAAACTTCACTTAAGCAAAACAGGTTACTAAAGGTTTAAGCAAATTTACATTAAAACACGTTGAACTATTGGCTTCTATATAAAATAGGACCACAGAATTAAGAGTATGTACCCGATTCTGTGATATACTTAATTCACTTGCTGTTTTACATCAATACCCTTTGAGAGTACATTAATGTTCGCAGTTCAAATTTTATTCTGTGATAGTATTCTAGTGACAGGAATCCATGATATGGTCGGACTTCCTAGGAGCATAATAAAGTTTTTTATACTTTTATTTAGTTGTACTTTGGATTCATAAAAGTTAGTTAATTTAATAATTAATTGCATATGTTTTTCTACCAATAGAGCAGAGTTTAATAGGAATAATAACCCAAGACTACTATTTTACATAATTATATTATAAACCCTACTGCGAGGAAGAAATAGCCCATTGGCAAAAAGGAATGCTGGTGAAATCAATATGATCACATTGACAAATTCAGCTTCTCCTCCAAGGTTCTGTCAACAAGATATAGGCACTTTGCCAATTGACAAAAGTTCTACAACACAAATAACTGAATTTGGTATAGGTTATGATAAAATTACGGGAGACGGACAACGGACCAGATCTTTGTTTGGGTTGATCTTCTGATTTATGGCCTGAGGGTAGTGGTCACCGGTGGAGGGGTGGGGAATCGAGAATTCTGAATCCCACCGGAGGCGTTAACTTTTTGTCAAAGATTTCACTTAGAATGCGATTACTTCTTAACTGTACATTTTTTGTTAGAATTTATAATTTTATGATCAGAGCTAGTTTTTGATTAGGTAACCTTTATTCGATTTTTTCATTACCGTATCAGCAAGTTTGGTTGGTTTGGTTAGGTTATGATAGTTTAATTTTATAATTAAAAAATTGAATTTTATGCATATTTTTTATTTTATTTTATGAACAGAACTATTTTTTTGATTAGTAAACCTTCATTCGACTTTTCATTATCAGCAAGTTTGGTTGGTTTGGAAAGTGTATAAGCATCCCCATAAATCAAGGATGATTTAAGACCAACAAGTAAAAATGCATTTTTCATAATTGTACTTATCTTTTATTAATAATTACAGTATTTAATGTTTATTGCTGTTCAGTGGCAGGATACAATGAAGACCTTTCGCCGCTTAAGAATTCTTTGGGTAGAAGATGCTTCCAAGGATCAAAATGAACAGGTAAAAAGAATGCAAAAATTTAAATACTCTGAAACATAATAAACACTGGGGAAAACACTTTAAATAAACAGTATCAGCAATCTGACACATATACCTTCT